GAATTAATGAACAGCAAAATATAATATTCCGATGGGGTATTATTTCTTCCTTTGTGGATAACAGCTGACCAAAGAGTTGATTAACCCTACTATCACACCAAACTAGTTCTCACTGCGTTCTCGAAAACGGGCTTAAACTGTGCACGGACGGATTTGGCGTACTAAGAACCCACTAAGAACCGTTTGGGATCTGTTTACAAACTTCATGAAACTACTAGAACGAGTAGGTCCTCCGGCACTTAGAGCATGCTCACAATTTTCTGGTGATCGTCAAAACGTTGCCGAATCGGTTTTAAACTGTGTGCGGACTGAATGAACGTAGCTACAACGTTCTACGGTCTGTTTACGAACTTCATGGACTTTCCCGGACGGGGTATGGGATTTAGAATTTTGAATCGATTCAAAATTCGATGGCGACCATACCGTTCTGTAATCAGGTCATGATGACCTTCTAGACTAAGGGACTGTTTATACTATGTTGCACACCGACGTGGTGCGACCTGAACGAACTGCGAATGAGATGGACGTATTGAAGACTGTTTATGAACGAAGTAGCTAATTATTTTAGACATATATCCCGACCGCAGTCAGATTGAGCCCGTTTTACGACATTTTCGTAGGACTGGCAAGAACGGGTAAGAAGTTAAGAACTAGTTTGGTGTGATAGGGGGGTTAGTAGTCAACTGAATGTTTGATTATCGAAATTATTGTTTTGATAAATGATCTAGGAAGATATTGGGTTTATCGGTGGACCAATTAACGGGAACCTATGTAGCTGATTGAGTAGTGTCACCCATCCTTCATACTTGGTCCAAGGGTATTTCACTTCTTTCTGAATTGAGTAATAAATGAAGTCCTTTGACTGAAGGATTTATATCGTCATAATTTAATTTCTTTAAATAATGGTTATCAAATTCATGGGCGTAGCTAGCTAATGGAGTAATGAAGTTTTGCACTGCCGTTTCTAGTCTTGCTTCGAGAGACTAGACCCCCCCCCCAAATGAAAACACTATTAACCACTTCACCACCTGTGGGAGGTGTGTAATGGGAGTCGTTCTTCAATCAAAGTCGAATCTGTATTGCAAACAATATAATGGGCCTGGTGAATAAGGATTATATGGGTAGACCATACTGTAACTAGTGTCCGCAGAAAGAGATTGGTGAAATCTGGCCCAAAATATTAGTGTTATTACATCACCACAAAATATTACCTTTCAACAAGAGAGCACAACCTAAATTACAAAAGAACATAACGATCTGATAAAGATGTAGGAAATTCGATGTGATGGGATGTGATATCAGCTCTCGGGTGATATGCTTCTAAAATGAATCATTCAAAATGATGTTTGAGGTTTCGTTTTTTGCTGTTGGGCGGAGCGCAGACATTGTGCGGTTTCCCCAGGAACTAGGTGGGAATAACACGCTATAATCAAGCTGTGACAGACGAATGTTGGGAAATAATAGCGGTTTATATTTGATATGTTATACCTTTTTCCCGTCCCCAGTCAGTCCTTACCTGGGCCTATGGGAGTCAAATAAAAAATGAGAACCATGATAACTGGCGACATTTTTACACAAACCACCCGATCATGACAAATCTGGTGACATGATGTCACATTTATAATCCGGTAATATATTGTGCAATACTCGTGTAATATCATGAATCAACATGTAAATTAATCCGCATTATGTTTGCCTACATGGTTTAAAAACTTAAAATCGCTATCTCAATTTTGCTAAGTTCCATTCTTCGAAAGCGCTGTCCATACGCACTGGACGAAATATCAAAATCATAACATCAACCGCCCAGACCTACTTTGGCCTAAATTATCATTTTCTCATTCTGATTTTGCATTTTACCAATTTGAAAATAATGCTTGTCTGTAATCTAATTCACAGTTGCATGCTCCCCCCATTCGCACAACTCAAAGTATTATGTCATCGATGAGCACAGACAGACATTTCAATTGCAATTAATACGCCGCAGTTAGTAATTACTTTAATACGACCCGTTATTCGAGGTATAATTGAACTATAACTGCATTTGCATCACATTCGTAGCAATATACAATATTAATCATATCGATTAATTTCATGTGAATCACGGATTGAGATTGTTTGCTATTGTTTGCCGATCACTAGATCACGATACAAAATAGAATTGAGGTAACGGTTATTTTAGAAACAAAGCATGATTCATAGTTAAATGACGAAATTTATGCAATTTTAGAGTAGTCCGTTCTATAGATCAAGGAGTTGTGTATCATACGATAACGACTGTACGCGACAGCAAGATTTGTGATAAAACCCCGAGCGACACATTTTAAAAAATTATTTGAAATATCACATATACAAATCATTGGCGTGTAGTGTCCCCTGGACTTTTCCAAAGGGGGGCATTTTAGTCCGTTAAGATCATAAGGTTCTTTAATCATCCTTAAACATGAGAGGGCGGTGTGGTTAGTCAATGTGGACCAAGGGTAGTGTACACCGGGTGTTAGACTGTGTAGTCGGAGCAGGTGTTTTGCCAAACTGAGTGACAAAAGTGCTTATCAATTAGTTGCAGGAAAATTCTTCGCGAAATTAAAATAATCCATCAACGATTTTTACATGAATTTTAAACAAGTTTCCCCACTAACAATTGAGAGGCTGTTTATTTTAAAATAACCTTTTGATCCTTTTAGATTTACACCGCCGCGGAGACAATATATTTTGCTGTAATTTTCTACCTTATTAATGCAAAAGTGTGCAGATGTTCAGAAATGCCTTGTTCTCAATTTAGCCATGTGTCAATCGGTTATTTAAACACACGATAAAAGGCTTACTAAATAAAGACCGGTTATTCATTATCGCGAAGTAAAGGTTGTAAACGTACCGTTCTAATCAGTATATTATTCGGAAGAACAGTATCAAATGAAAAGCATATAAACAGTTTTGAAAAGCGTGGACTTTATTTTTACGATCACCGCCCGGATCACCGTAATCTAGTATCGATATATCACCTTCCGATTAAATGTACAGAGAATCACTCAGTACTAATCTGTGGATACCACAGTGCGTAATCTTTGGTGAAACGCAATATCCTTCCTATCCTTCAAAAGAAGTCTTCATCTACAATGTCATCGTGATCCATCAATGTATTACATGTGAATGAACACATGTTACAATTTACCAAGATATTGTAGAGCTAAATAAAAACCTTTACTCTATATTTGTCAAGCCAGGTTATACTATATCCACTACTCTTGAGTCTTATCGTTTTAACCACCAAATTCCCGTGTCGCTACCCCCCCCCCCTCTGAGGGACTACCCCTCGTTACTTAGTAGCCATGTTTAAAGGGATTGCTTTCGTTTTAAAAGGAAGCTTCATACTATTCCCAGATTCCGTTCCAGCGTATATTACATTATTATTGTGAAATCTAGGAACATCTAAATAAGGACTTCTTGGAACCAGATCCAACAGGCAAAAAAGTATTTTAGATAACTTACTTTTTAGAGTAGCCTTTCCATTTGACCAGATATTCCACAACCCCCTGAAAAAGAAAGATGAATATCATGTATATTGGGCAATTTGGGGCATTATGATACCGGTATTTCAATTGATCTTCATCAAATCCGATTGTTTCGGTGATGTTTCCATGATTACTGGGCCGGGATGGCTGTACACCGTCTTCTTCAGCTGGGTCACGATTGACACGACCCGGAAGGCTGATGATAGCATGTACAAGGGACCCCAAGCAAAACTTGCACCATTCATTGCGTTAATCTGGCATTAATTTGGAAGAACATGGTGGATTTCTACATATCCTCTATCTTGTTAATGTAAACAAACACAGGTATACCCAGCGTGTTTAATTGGATGTTTTGATTAATAATTACCATTATTAGACATACCAACATGCTATATGAAAAATTAAAGGCTCAATGTTCACTTCCACTGAACTGTCAATAGCTATATTCACACGTAACTTTACTTAGAGGTTGTTTTGCTCATTTTGGGAAGCTCGCTGGGTTCAGTGTACTTAAACCTAACAACTCTAACATACACTGTCCTACTATTTCTGAACATGGAAAACTGAAGCACTAACCTTCCTGAATCTTCTACGCAAGATATTTTCAGCAGCAAAAACCCTTTCTCCCAAAGCAGATAATTCCATTGTGCAGCCGTGTTGTCTCGTTATCCAGTACAATGTTTTGATTTGATCGAAAATGGTCAGTGAAGTACATTCATACTGTTTAGTCTACTCTAATTATGCATAGCTAAAGGCCCACACCTGTCTCTAGCTGTCATGTAAAAGAGACTATGTGCGTAAGATAATGAAGGCTATATATTACTCCCACGCAGAGTTTTCACCCTCCATATCTCCCCTTCGTATCGACTAGCTCTATTATCTGTTTGGAGATTGAATAAAAATAGATGTCAGCACCAATATAAGGTGTTTGACTGCAATGTTTCGTTCAGGGCAAATCAGGATCAAAACACCATTAGACCGGGGCTTACTGCCAAGGTGAGCGATATATTACATACGCAACTACGGAGACAGAATCCAGAATACAAGTTATTCTTCATTTTTTCTCTTGTTTTCCTTAATTTTAGGGAGAAGCCTATTGAACTTTCTCTGCAAAAAGTACAAATAAACAAAAATTGATTGGCCTGGCCTCTTTATTTAAAAATCATTTCTTCTATCGCCCTTGATATTAGTATCTGGTTCAAATAAAACGTGGCTCGGGTTCTTCGATTGTCAAGAAGGTTATCAGCTATTTCATCCATCGTTTGCCAGCGAGATACATTCAACCGTATCAACTAATTAAATTAAACATTTGGTATAAAATAATTTCATGACATGAATATGCTTAAGCTGGGATTAGCCCGTATTTCCAGAATTGTCCACAGGTCCGTGCACGTCATAATATCGATTTTATGAAGCGACGACCGCCGTCAACCCGCCGAAGAGCAAATGTAAATGAGGCTTTAACCTCCCTAATATATATAACAAACACCGCAATTTCTATTTTGGACAGAATCTATTTTAAACATGGTATTTACACACATTGTAAAATCATGAAAAATGATCTTCCAAGCAAATCCTCTGGATCGGTTACTTCAATTGTTTACAAACCAAACGTCTTTCTTTAATTTCTAAATAGTCACTTTGCAATTATAATTCGGAAGCATTTCCATATCATACGTCCACGATCTCTTTCCATTTGCATTCTCCAGGACACCAGATATTCATTTGTATCGCAAAAAATGCTGTGCCTGTCGAGGAACTGGAGAAACTGATTCCGGACTTCTTGCCATGGACCGAAGGTAGTTCTGTATGGTCCCCAGAGAGCCTAAAAAGATTACCATTAACATTCATTCAGAAACGACTATCGAATATCAAGGTTCAGTTATATTCAAAGCTTCTTCATAATTCTGCTCGCGCATCGGAACTTTATAAAACAAGGGCAAATGTCAAAGCCGGTGTAAAAGAAATTATGGTCCCCTGGGGATTATGGTTCCCTTAAAGGCCCTTACTGGCCCTGATTGTGGATACGATAATGAGGGAAAGAGTTGTATTTAGGTCACCATATAAATCAATAGAAAGTAGGACCATAATTCGATAGGACCTCCTACCCTTTTACACCTGGGCTGTACATTTTCCACGTCGTTCACAAATTAACCCTTGGAAATGTCCAGTGGGCTTGGAACATTATGAAAGGATTTAGTCCAATCATAAACTCTACTCACTTTCAGACCAACTGCATCATTTTCCTTCGTGAAGCCTCTTGGATCCGTTTCATCGGTGTATACGCTCACATCCTGTAATCCTCTTTGACCCTTTGGACCGGACAAGCCCTAGTATAACAGAGTCAAAGTAGATTGTGTTATTTATACAATATAGGACCTGTTCCATCGGCGTGTCCTATTACACCGTATAATCCTCGTTGGCCCTTATATTAAGACATTGTACCCTTTACTGTCAGTGAAGGATAAAACAAGTATTTGATACTTTTACTTTTGTGCTATTTTCCATTGAAATGGGATATCACTAGTATAATAGACATAAATTCCAAAATGACTTGAATAAAGGTCAAGAAAAATGATCCATATTTATGAATTTCCATTCTTGAACGATTTGAGAACATGAGTATACGAATACGTAACACCCTTCTTCAAAGGACTTCATTTATGCTTAAACTTGTAAAATACCCTTGCAGCAAGGATGATACGTAAGCTTAACTCAAAAAGCAGGACAATGTTCCGAAACATAAACAATGTTTACCGTCGCTAAGAAGTCTACGTCTTCTTTGATTTTCAGAACATCTTCACAACAGTTCTCCGCCCCACTGTCAAATTGTAGCAGTCCCGCCAACATCAACATTGAGAGTAGGCCTACTGACATGGTCACTGGTGATCCACTCGATTACGCTGGTTACCGAAACGGTTCGTTTTGGTAACAAAATGTCGGAACTTCGAAGGTACGATTTTTCTTTTTTCCTTATTTCGCACGTTGTAGGCAGGATGCCCACGACATTTGTAACACAAACGTGTATCAGTATCATATGTTTTAGAAAATGTACATATTTGTGAACAAATAGTTCAGAAGACAACAGAATCGTCGATTTAATTCCTCACTTAAGTTACATAAACGGTATTTTGAAAAACAGTTAAGAACTGCACTTTTAACCCAAACCGTTTATGTAACTTAGTGAGGAATTAAATCGACGATTCTGTTGTCTTCTGAGCTATTTTTCGCAAACATGTACATTTTCTAAAACATATGATGTGATACATGTTTGTGAGAAAAAACGTCGTGGGGATTCTGCCTACAACGCGTGAAATAAGGAAAAATGAAAAATCGTACCTTCAACGTTCCGACATGTTGTTACCAAAACGAACCGTTTCGGTAACCAGCGTAATCGAGCGGATCACCAGTGATGGTTACAATATCTGACTTAACCGTTGTCAGGCCATTAAGGTGTGATCATCAGAACTGCCGCTTTCTGCGGTCCCTTTCAGAATTTTTAACCAATCATTTGGTAGTTACTTATGTTTGCTTGGATGCTATTGGTTCACTACATTTTTGGATGATGCGTGTCTCGTGTTCGAGTCACGTATATGTTTGTCGGTCGTCATTTCAAAGTGGAAAACTGGTTTGTTCATCTCGATATTCTGCCATATATGGTGTCATGTCGTGATTACAAAATTCGAAATCAAGCAAGGAGGATTGGTTCCCAGGGATTGCTGGGATGCTATTGGTTCACTACATTTTCGGATGTGTGTCTCGCGTTCAAACCACGTCATCATGTTTGTTTGTCCTCATTTCTAAGTGGAAAACTGGTTTGTTCATCTCGATAATCTGCCATATATGGTGTCATGTCGTGTTCACAAAATTCGAAATCAAGCAAGGAGAGTTGGTTCCCAAGGACGCAACTCGATATTTTCCGACAATGAAAATGTCAGACATCCTTAATCAGATTCATTGTTGGAAAATATCAAGATTGCATTCTGGGTCAGCCAATCTTCTTTGAAAACAAAGTATTTCTGATCGTACATGTATATCCGAAGAAAAAATTCAAAACACTCAAAAGATCAAAATATTAATTCAAATCTTTTGGATCTGATTATGAATCCATAGTCAGTTATAGTGTCGGGAAATAACGCCATTTTCTATGTTGTCGAAGAACAAGGCCAAGGTCGAATATCGAGTTTGAGGTCTAGGAGCAAATCCTCCTTTAGGTTTAATACTTAATAATTTGCCACTACAATTGGCTTCAAAGTAATTTGTCCACTACAAGTGGCTTCAAAGTAATTTGTCCACTGCAATTGGCTTCAAAGTAATTTGTCCACTACAATTGGCTTCAAAGTAATTTGTCCACTACAATTGGCTTCAAAGTAGCTTAATTTGTCCACTACAATTGGATTCAAAGTAATAATCGGCTTCAAAGTAATTTGTCCACTACAATTGGCTTCAAAGTAATTTGTCCACTACAATTGGCTTCAAAGTAATTTGTCCACTACAATTGGCTTCAAAGTAGTTTGTCCACTACAAGTGTCTTCAAAGTAATTTGTCCACTACAAGTGGCTTCAAAGTAATTTGTCCACTACAATTGGCTTCAAAGTAATTTGTCCACTACAATTGGCTTCAAGGTAATTTGTCCACTACAATTGGCTTCAATCTAACATGAACCTCTGTCGGAGGATTTTTTATTTTCGTCATTTTCCCCAGGAAGGATATGTCGATTTGAACCCAAACCCATTGATCGAGAAACACCTCGCTTTAGCGACGTTGACACGACACAATCAGATATCATGCGGTTGCCGTGGACCTTGAAGAGATGATGCACGGTCGACTTGGAGGGTCCCTAAGGAATAAGGACATTTTTGCCCGCCTTGGTGTATTATCGGTATCATATCGTAAAATGAAGTTACCGTAGCATAATACCTAGGCCACATTTGGTCGGCCAGAGCCCGGTCGATTGAGTATTTTGTTCAAAATTGAAGGTCAATCTCAAATTTGAGGTCAGATGTGAACTCCTGAGAACTTGTACATGATTTAAAAAATGGTTGGTCAATTTGAAGCAAGTTGAACAAAATACTTTTGAACAAAATACTACAACTACTGAATCGGAGCAAATTTGACCTAGGTACAAGTGGTATGGCACTAATAATATGAAAACTAAAAATTTCTCCATCTAAAATGTCACTCGACTTTTTGGCAATTAAAAGTCCCTGCCTGCATTTAGTAGTCATATATTGTCATGTGCATAATTTTGAAACCATATCCAATTATTTCACAAACCCTTTGTTGATTCTGCCATAGTTTCCAATTTGTAAACAGCATTTAGCCTTTTTAATTGGGAACTTTTTTGAAATTTCCAAAATGGCTGCCATGTGATTCCAGAATTAACATGAGTGTGACGTGACATCACAGTTGCTCGTTCCTAGGTAACAACAAGATCACAATTGCTCGTTTTCTAGATAGCAACAAGATTTTTGATAAAATGGCACAGAATTACCCTGATTAACACCCTTAAAATCCGATTTTCAAAGAATATATTTGGAGAAACAATAAAAGGTAAGTGGAATAAATTAGAAGATGGTTTCAAGTTACCACAGAAGTCAATTTGAAACTCAAGAATGCTTTCTTTGACTCATAATCACAAAAAAGTCGAGTGACATTTTAGATGGAGAATTTCTTATTTGGCAGAATTTTTGTCACATGAGCTTATGTTAATAAGTGTTTAAAACAAACAAATTGTTTGAGATTACGAATTTTTGATATATTTATTTTATCTTCACCAGGTCACTTTGATTCAGTTTTCAAGGTTTTTTTTTTGCTTTCACCCCAATTTTAATGGATTTGAACAATAACACAGAGTCATTTTATACAAAACAGTTTATTTCCCAAGTTCGATATTGCGAATAACAATATTGAGTTACATGACAAAGAGGTCTCAATTTACAGCAAACTTTTCTGATTAAAATATCACCTAGTCATGCTTTTAAAAGTAAGTTAATATTTAGCAAGGAGCATAGTGCGTAGGAAGAGGTTTCCTAAATTATTTTATTTTTCGAACCCTGCCATGGAGGATAAATACTCTCCAGGTAGGGTTACAAAGATAAATAATTTTAATTAAACCACAACGGTAGACTAAAACTGTTATAAATACACCAGAATGACACACAGTTCACTGAAATACCTTCTCCATCCCTCAAACTTCTAACCCAGACACTGGGAAGGTGAATACAGACTGGAAAAGTAGAAGCTTGATAAGGCAATTCAATGTAAAGCAAAATTTGGCGATTATAGAAAAGACAGTGGTGACATCTTTCAATATACTAATAAAGTGACTCTACTGTTTAATACATCATCCGAGTGACCAACAAAACTTTGGGAGAGAAAAAGTATATCATGAACTTTTTATACAATTTTTAAGACGAAATTGCAATCACTGATATGAATTTGAGAGCAGGCTTAACTTCAATCAAAAACACATCTGCATCTGTGGAAGCAGCTTCACCACAACTACACTTTTATCAAAACAATTCAACAGCTGCCAGAATTGCAACAGTTTCGGAACAGTAGCTATTGTCAGAACTGTAGCTATGAATAGTCTTCATTCATGCCAGAAATGCAGCTATGTTAGAACTGTAGCTGTGACAGGACTTCATTCATGCTAGAAATGCAGCTAATGTCAGAACTATAGCTATGACAGGACTTCATTCATGCTAGAAATGCAGCTATGTCAGAACTATAGCTATGACAGGACTTCGTTCATGCTAAAATGCAGCTTTGTCAGAACTATAGCTATGACAGGACTTCATTCATGCTAGAAATGCAGCTATGTCAGAACTCTAGCTATGACAGGACTTCATTCATGCTAGAAATGCAGCTATGTCAGATCTATAGCTATGACAGGACTTCAGTCATGCTAGAAATGCAGCTATGTCAGAACTATAGCTATGACAGCACTTTATTCATGCTAGAAATGCAGCTATGTCAAAACTATAGCTATGACAGGACTTCAGTCATGCTAGAAATGCAGCTATGTCAGAACTATAGCTATGACAGGACTTCATTCATGCTAGAAATGCAGCTATGTCAGAACTATAGCTCCAGTGGTAACAATATTCTAGTCAGTACTATTTATAGTCGAGACCACCATTTACTTATCATTGCACATGTATATTTCTCACAAATCATTACTAATAATCCAATCAGAACTTACTGATAAATAATGATAGAAAACCAAAATAAGGAGGATATTCAAAATATATCCAAGAGAAAAACATTCAATATGGTTTCTCTGGGATAAATTCAATATTCATCCCTAATTAGACATAGGATATCATCAATATACATCCTCAATTTAGACCTGGTATATTGCAATCATATATAAACAAATGTCCAAATTATACACTATCTGGCAATAAAAGCAATTTGGCGATATTTTAAACTTAAATAATAATAATGTCAAAAATGAATAAATATAACATTGGCTAAATGGCGTTGTAAATGTATGCGTCTTCAAATAACACAATGTATAGATTTTCAAAACACAATCTGTGTTTAGCAGAATATAACTAATTTCATAACAGCGCTTATACCATAAATTATTATCTGTAAAACACAAACAGTATCCAACAGAACACACTTAGTATCCCATGGAACACAATATCCCATAGAACACAGTACCACACAGTTAGTACACCATAGAACAGAGTTGGTACTACCATAGAAATACTCAAATAATGAAACAAAGGGTTCACTCTTATACATGTAAATACTGGTAATTTTTCACAAAAGACTTCCCAGTAAATCACCAAATGAAATCAAAGTAGGCATTTTGAGGTGTTGCAAAAATTACCAAAGGATAAAATTAACATTTTTTATGTTATGCAAATGTTACAAGTCACAACAGAAACATGTCTGCAAGTGGAACAAGGTTGGTGACAATTGAGTGATAGCAATATCATAAACTAACAGTATCGTTGGGAATAGAGATTAATTTTCAACCCCAAGGCTTCCAAATTCATAATAATATGAGGATGAATGAAAATGAATGCCAATTTTGGTATTGAATTAGCGAGCCTAACAAAAACAACGAAAAGCTTACGACAGTCAATTTTGATGTAAAATACAAAGTAAACAGGTTACGAGGGATGTGAACTAACAAGCAAACTGAACCTTAATGCTTAGAAAAGATTTGACAAATGTTTTTTTGAAAAAAATGAAATCAAAATGACTGCCGAAGCACCTTTAAAGGTGAAGGAAAACGAATTAGAAATCATATACCACTTTCAGTGCTGGAAAACTTCATGATATTATACATAGTGTACAATTGTATTAATGTGATACGCATAAATTCCAAATAGGTTCATGTAGTCCATACCACAGTCACACGGACCATCTGATAGTGATATACCTGGTCATATATAGTGACACACTGCCCCATATAGTGACATAGACTATCCCATATGACACAGACTAATCCCAAATTGTGACACAGGCCAGTATGTCACAGACTATTCCATAGTCCACAGACTATTCCATAGTCAGTGAAAGTCAATGTATGCAGGGGTGTTTAAGCAACAAATCTACTGAGCCGTATTTCTACACTTTGTACACGCACAGGTTCTAATGTCCCATAATGCATCAGAACACTGGGCTAATAACGCACTCTCCAATCCTGATTCAACGTCTCCTATTATCCGTGATATATACAATTAGTCTGGGCTATCATGCCCTGTGTTACACAGTAAATCGGTTCTTAGTAGTGGATCCTGCTTTTGACATTGTATCCATGTGAGCCTGAAAAGGAATCAGCAATGGTATAAACATTTTTGTTTATTTTTGTTAAATAATCCACATGGGAGTCACCCTGCTCAATTCATTCTTCCAGAATATAGAGATAATATGTAAATGATCTTTGACGTGCTTCGTTTCTTGTATCAGTATGAAAAAGTATCCAGTTTTCTGACCTGTATTGTTTATGTCTGTCTGATTGCAAGTTCAGTGTTGATACTGGATGAAAATATTACATTAATTATATTTAACATATTTCCTGGGAATTTGAGTTGTCATCCAAATATTGTTTTTCATAACTTATCAAATTGATATTTTGCGAAGATGTTGACCTCAGAAAAAAATTTCATGTTTCACATTTTGTATCACACTTGGTAAGACTAGTACAATTTAAATCAGAACTTAACACAGGGCCTTTAATTTAAAAACTGAACTTACTTGATAACCTATAGAAATTTTGGAAGGAACACTTAATCTTTCTTTTAACCGTCGACTGAAAATATAAAACAAAATATAAAAATATTTTCATCATTGTTTAAACATTAAATTGTGGTTCTCCCCATTTTTTCCCCCAAACACATCCTACTTTTTGAGAATCCACATCCCTGCAGTTGTTGTATGTCAACCTGAGATTTTGAAAGTAGGCTTGCACCCACCTGAAAATCCATTTGCACCGACTTGAAAATGAGAAAAATCATGACAAATTCACACTTTGACTGCATACAAATGCATACTTTGACCAAATTTTGGTCTAAATTGTAAAAATGAGAATTTTGTAACCACATAAGAAAAAATCCTGGGGCGATCACTGCAAATTGTGGCAAAAATGTTTTCAACCTCAGGAGTGAACCCTGCGTATGAATTGATACTGACAGCTGGTTTTACATCTTACCCGATTTTTAAAGTAGCTTCATTATTCTTAGCATCGTGTGTCCATAGTCCTAATTTATCGCCTTTATTCCTTATGTTCACAACAGCACCGCATATGTTTTCACTATGTTCCTCAAAAGCTTCACCGATTAAGCATAATAACTGAAAAACAAACAATTTATATATAATCTGTCACATTTCAAATATCATATTCTGTTACATTTCAGTGATAGATTAAAAGATATATATTCTGTCAGATATCAAATAATAGAATCTGTCACATTTCATAAGTTATCTATTCTGTCACATTTGAAAAATGATATATTCTGTCACATTGTAAATAAGCTAATTTGATTAAAAGAAGCATCATATTCATAATACATTGGTTGAAAATTGCTTAAAATTAAAAGACCATCTTCACAAAATATTTTTTAATGGATCAGCTTCTCAATGCAATAGTTAAAGGATCATCTTCACAATGAAGTGGTTAAAGGATCACATTCACAATACTTACAGTTTCTAGCCAGAAATTGTCTAAATCTGAATGTCTCTGTTGCTTGTTGAGATTTATTAGCCACCTTCCCCCACGTTTGTTAAAATCATCTTCCCACATAGGCTGGACTCCGTCCTAAATAAATATAAACACATGTTTTAACTTGTAAATATGAAAAATAGCCCATATACTTGGAAGTGGTTCAATACAGTTATGTAAGCTTTTAAGAGAAAAATGGAAAATTTATTTCATGTGAATGAATTACGTAAATCATTGATATCTTTGAACAAAGGTGTTATTTCATGCTAAACTAATATAGACTTTAATGAGAAATCTGAGAATACATTTAACATAAATTAATTCTGTCTGTTCTAAATACGGTTGAAAGCCATGCTTAACCAATACAAACATAATCAGTTGGTAATGAGCTGCCAGGTCAAAGTGTTTCTTGGTATGGGAAGTCAGAAATTCTAATGACAGTATGACACCCCAATAGGCACAAATTGAGAATTTGAAAGCGATTTAAAATGTGGATAATTTGACTTGGCTAAAACATATTTAGTCAGAATTAGTCTACTTCGTCTTCTCACTCAGTCTAGAAAAATCCCTGGATGAGCCAACATTAACATTAATGTCAGATACTAGTAAAATCTGTATATAGCCTAGTGAACACCTATGGAAAGTGTAGGTAGGTGTCCATTACCGAGAGAGTATTTATACTGGAGACAATATAAAATGTGTCTTGATGAGGTGTTCTCTAAACATAGGTGTTCACTCCAGAGAGATGTTCACTCAGACAGGTTTTACTCTACCTCTCTATCAATATCAATTGTGATACTTTCTTACCTTGAAGAGAGAGTAGTCGCATCCGGATGGAAGTTTGCTAGCAGGTTGTACATGATTATATAAGCTGAAATAGAGAAGACAGTTCTTAGTACTAGTAATCTTATTTATATCAAGAATCCTCTTGAAGCACTATGGCAGATATGAACAAATAACTGGTCTAAATGAACATTGCCAGAGTGCAGTTAATTTGTCCAGACTTAAAATGTATAGCTGAGATCTTGTGAAAAAAACAAGTGGCAGAAAATAAAATCTGAAACTGAATTGATCACAGATTTTCTTCCATTGAACAATGGATTTTACATTCACCCCTATAACAACAATATCTTAGATTCATAAACATTACAAATAATCTTTGCATTAGAAATACTTTTATATTACTACTTACGCCCAGAAATCTTCTACAGTATCAAATGTTGTGACTAATTTTAAATTTGATGCCCAATCTTTGCTTTTGTCGTTTTTGAAAAACCATAAGGCCCATTTGTTTTGTAGAGGATGTTTAATATATGTGTCATCAATCTCTGGGGCAACAACAGTCATATCTTCATCAGTGCAGTCATCTTCATTCTCAAGGTCTATCTTCATACCCGGCTCCTGAATATTAAAACAATTGGATTTCATGAATGTTTTATGAAGTAAGTACATGTACCAGTGATCTCCCCAGGATTAAAGCAAGTGGGCGCAGCAACCAATTGAGATTTTGAAAATAGGCTTGCACCCATCTTAAAATCCATTTGCACCCTCTTGAAAATGAGAAAATCATGAAAAATTGGCATATTTTGACCAATTTTGGTCTGAATTGTGAAAATGAAAATTTTACACCCACTTGAGAAAAAATCCTGTGGAGGTCACTGTGTATATATAGAATTTTCATAGGATGTTTCTGATGACAGCCAAAATGAATGTGAAAACAAGCAAAGTTGTTGTACAGGGTGAACCAAAAAAAGGTAACTAATTTGAACCAGAACAACGGCAACGCCAAAGCGTAGCGAATCCCATCGAAAAGAAATGGCTGGCATTTTACAAACAAAATATATAGCAAATATCGTAAAATAACACACATAAGAAAGGCCACCATTTTCAAAATGGTTGCTCACTAGCCAAGTTGTCATCAGAAGAAGTAATATGCTTTTAAGTAGCCACATATAAAATTTAAAAAAAATCGCCCACGCATACATGTAAATGCTGGCCATTTCTTAAAATGGCCACCTACTACCCAAAATGTCATAAGACAGTATGCAATTCTTACGAGTATTCACATATAAAATATGAACAAAATCGCTCTATTACTTTTTGAATTATAATAAAAAATGTAAAATAACACACATAAAAAGGGTGGCCATTTTTCAAAATGGCCCACTACTCCCCAAAGTTTTATTAGACAATGTGCCATGCTAAAAGTATTCACATATCAAATATGAACAAAATCACTCCAATACTTTTGAAGTTATAGCAAAAAATGTAAAAATGACGGCCATTTTTTAAAATCGCCACCTTCTACGCAAAGTGTCATGAGCCAGTGTGCAAGGTTCATAAGTATTCACATATCAAATCTGAACAAAATCGCTCCACTGCTTTTCAAGTTATAGTAAAAAACGTAAAAAATGGCGGCCATTTTCAAAATGGCCGCCTACTACCTAAAAAGTCATTAGACATTCGGCCATGCTTAAAGTATTCACATACCAAATATGAACAAAATCGCTCAACTACTTTTTGACTTACAGTAAAAAATGTTAAATAACACACGTAAAAATGGCGGCCATTTTTCAAAAATGGCCTACTACCAAAAATGTCATTAGACATTGTGTCATGCTTAAAATATTCACATACCAAATATGAACAAAATCGCTCCACTATTTTTCAAGTTAGAGCAAAAATCGTAAAAAGACGTGCAAAGGTAGCCATTTTTCAAGATGGCTGCCATGTATTTCTTCTGTATTTACATTTCTAGCTTAATCAATGTCCTATATAACTTTTTTACATTTAAAACATATTGCTATTACAGTTTTATATGCAGTACCTAAATAACTGTAAAATCGGCATTAAAATGGCCGCCATTTTTTAAAAATGAGCGGCCATTTTGAAAATCCGTTTTCGAGCAGAACTTCTACCCCCATTGGGTATATGTGTACAAAATATGAACAAGATCGGGCCAACGGTATTTGAGTTATTGCCCGGAGGGACGTACGGACGGACATACGTACGGACGGAGGCGTTCCCTATATCCCTCCGAACTTTGTTCGATGGGATAATAACTGAAGTCATCCAATATGTGTTTCAAGTCATATTTGGCACAATTACTCAGATGCGAGTAGGTAGTTACCAGTTTTGTCACCAGGTGGCTGATTCGGGGAAATAACATGGCAGGGTATTACAAAAGTCCCTTAAACTTTAATATTCATAAATTTTAGTGGTTCATATTACCCTAATGTATTTGATAGTTATTCAAATTAAAATATGTCCATTGTCCAGTAAAAGAAAATATTATCTGCCAAACACAAGAAAATATATTTTGGTTTTTGTGACTTTCCAGAATTGGGTCTGTAGGGAATCTCCCCGACCTAGGAGTCACATTTTCAAAGAAAATCAATTTTTCAAAATTGATAAACTCTTTTCAAAACCACATTTCTAAATCTTATTTTACATTTAGATTCCAAATATGACATCAGTTTGACCGAATTTCTAATTTTTAATAACATAAATCATCTCATCTATTGAACCTTGTTCAATGTTCTGGACAGCTTAATTAATAGCTTCACCAGGTCTAAATATCTGGGCCTTAAGGTGCCATGGTACTTCAGGAAATGACAAAACAGGAAGTAACATTTATGTGACTGAAAAATAGCTAAAAGTAGGAGCTTAGGAGAGATCACTGAATCTTTTGAATCTTCTGAAAAATTCAAAAGATTCTGTTCAGTGACCTTTCCCGAGGGGCTACTTTTAGCTATTATTCAGTCACATTTTCAGAGGGCTGAAATTTTTTTTCATCATGTTTGGGGTCATTCTGACCATGTTCATTGTGATCCTGGTCCTGTAAATGATATGTGGAACTAGTTGAATTGAGTGGAGGTCAAAACAGAACTCTATTACCTTTGTTCCAAAAATGTCAAAAATGCAGCATGTTTTGTCATTTCCTGTTAAGTACCATGGTACCTTAAGGGTTAAAAACAAAACACAACTGTGATAATGTTGGCTTATGAAGTAAGGGGAGACTAAATGATAATTTTACCAATCATGAGACTGGCTCTAAAATTTCCGGAAAAATTAGTTTCAATTGATCTAAATGAGAGGGATTTAATATATAAGGCTTTTATGTAACGTATTTTCTAAGGCAAACTAATTTAAATTGGTATCTTTATTTCTAGGATTGCAAATGAAAACTGAATTCAATTATCACATAATGTGGAATATTATAAGGCACACACATTTTGTTAGTAATTTGTTCAAGTTTGAATCATTCATATATTAATAATATAATTTCTATTCAGTGTTCCATATTGGATTGACTCTGATTCTCAAGGTCTCTTGACCTTTACCTAGACCTAAGAGGGGATGAGGATGAGGAGGCCACTTTGATTTCGGAATAACTTTTTTTAATGTATAAATAATTTTAGAAAAAATTGTGTCACAATGCTACTTTTATTTGAAAATTATCAATTATCACACCGGAATAGCCTGACAATGGTAAAGTCAGATACCGCTGTCACAAATGGTGGACATAACCATCACTTCAATTAGATTTTCATGAACTGTATGTTTAATAGAGCACCTAGACGAAATTCCTTTGGAACAACAACCAATCAAAGTGTCTTATTACTCATTGTACAGTCAATACTGTTTAACCATCGAAATTAAGTCATTTTAACCGATTAAAATAAGATACGGGACAACGGACAATGTAATTACCATATGCAATTGTCTTTCTAAATTACTCAAATTCAGATTCTATTGTCATTGACGATATCGAAGACGCTATATTGTGGCGATTCACGGCCCCATTCCATTAAAATTGGGATTTCATATGAAACATCATCACAAGAGCTTAATACATGCACAGAATTAGCGACGATAAAATGCCATGAAATGAGAAACAAGTGATTAAAGAATTGAGCGACAGTTACGTCCACCATTTGTGACAACGGTATCTGACTTTACCGTTGTCAGGCTATTCCGGTGTGAATTATACTACCAATTACATCAAAATACATGCCTGAGTATTTTTATCTTAAAATTACCCAGTGCTCTCCCTTAACTTGTACACTATTATTGCATTTTACTATATTAGATCTCAAATCTTTGTGATTTATGCCTTTGAAACTCCTAAATGGTCACCCAAATGCTGAAATTGGAAATTCTGATACATCTCTGATGTATGCCTTTTAACATCTGCCAATTTAATCAAGGGTAGAGTGGTAAATATTACACTGTGACATAAACAGATTCATGAATACAGCGCTTGTTAGGATTTGCTACTCTCTGTAGAGTTGACAAGATCAAGTTAGGAATGGTCTGAAGGAGGTACATATATTTTGAATTTTCTTAACTCCCTTGGCACTAATACAGGAGTTTAGCCTAGCTAGATAGTTGAAAATACTCTATAAACAGCCAATAGATGTCTAGCCCATTTTCAGGAAAAGAATCTTAGGCCTAAAGCAGTTCCCCATTGAACCAACATGTAAAACATCACATTTATACTATGATTTTAACATCATAATGCTACCATTTCTGTTTCCTCATTCATTCAGAAAATCAACAGATCTTTAGGTAAGATCTTATATATCATTGGTATAAAGTTTTTTAGTCTTTTAAAACAACATAAATAATGGAAAATAAAGATGAATATTGGCTATTTTGTTTAAAATATTTGGCTTGATGTTGGTCAGCTTAAATCACCAAAATGACCTGGGGTCAATAAGTTTATATAGCCACCAGTAAGATACTGCTTGTTTTAAGTGCAGCTTGAATTACAATGTTTACTATTGTCCACATACTGATACAGGATAAAAGGTTAAGTTAACTAGATAGTTAGAAATCATTCAGATATTTGATGCAGGATTTGAGAGTTTACATTCAGACATAGTTTTATAACTAATCCCAAATAATTTATTTGCAGACTCAGAAACTGATCTAATGTGCCAACTTACACTTATATTTGATATCATTGAAAATGTTTCTAAAGTTTTTTCTCCACACATTTTAATTAACGAATAATACAAAATGTAATTAGGCCATAAGAAGTAGATTCTTTGTTTTGCGTCCCCTTGCTTGCACGATTTTGAGTAAATCAGAAAAGGCAAACACATCCAAATAGCAATCACAAAGTCTGGAAGTACCATCGCATTTCGTTCAATCAGAATCAGACAAAATGGTGGATAATTTGATGTGTGTCAAAATGGACAGTGTTTTTGATTACTTTGGCATACATTGTGTATTTTCTTATTTTTACCCTTGAAATAGCTATATGTTTAAATATACTGTATAGAATGTATAGATACATAGAAATTGGTGTGTCATGCCCTTTTATGCCCTTGAAATGTATATATTTCTCAGCAAACAAGTTTGTGTTTTTTCTTGAGTTTGTGTTTTTTTCCTTGTATCATTGCATGATTTGGATTTTGCGAGGACGCAAAACAAAGAATCTACTTCTTATGGCCTTACAGATGATAGATATCTTGTACTTCCAGAAGAAATACTAAGAAGAAAGTAGATTAAATAATTCACATGTAATGTATGGCCCTGTAGTGACCCTTGACCAATTAGTCATTTTCCAGTTATATAACAGTTGGAAAAGATATATCTTTGATGTCTTTAAATAGATAACAATTTCATCATGACCTATGGCCCAAGAATTTTTTAAAATAAAAATAATTTTTTCAAAGAATCAAAGAAAAGGGTGAAAAATCTAGAGAATCACCATACCTTCTATGTTATCATTTCCTGAATTTTTATCATATGACTGCCATCTATAAATGGAATTAGCTAAGGCTAAAAGGGCTTATTACAGAAAATAAGGCATACAAGATACTTGAAATGAAATGAGGTTTTATGTATAACAAAATACACATCCTCAGAGACCTATGGTACACACCTTAATTGAGGTTTCTCTGTCTAAGGTCAAGGGCCTTTGTCATTTAGCATTAATCATAAGTAGTGTGTTCTTTGTTCTTTTGATTAATTATTAATATAAGCAAGCATGGGCTTTCAAGAGAATTAATTCAATTGGCTATTATATATGTTTATAACAACTTATTTACTGCTCGACTGTTAACTTCTAATTGATCTCCTTGGTTAGGTTAAATCATGATCTTATGAGTTTAGGTCAATTTTTTACAATTGGTCCTGATTTTCAACAGGGCACCCAGTTGCTATAATGCTATGAAGGTCACTTCTCCTGGTAATCTTGATTCAGTCTTCAACCATAACATATTATCATAAACTGCTGTTATCACTTTAATATCAATCCATTGCTGATTCTATATATTATTCCATATTCACTGTACAGTACAAAATTTTATCATTAGTTGCTTCATCACTTAAACCCCAATCTCAATGCCTCTCGTCGACAGTGTAAAACATTACAACAGCGTTAAATATTTTTCCAGAGAGGTTAACCCGACCTTAAATTTAACCTTGGTACATCAAAACAAGTAGATACAATATATTACAGATTATTACATAGAAAAACAAGATAGTTTAGCATTCACATCTGTAAAATGTGATAACAGTGACTGAATACTATCTGCAATTAATTTATAGACTTAATTTTGCACCATTTATTATGGCAGCACTCCTTGTTCTATAGACAGATGAGATCCTAATCGTAAGAGGGGGGGGGGGGCAAGAAGAGGATTACCTCATTAATACCACTAATATACACTTTCAGGAATAGCCAGATTAATATAAATCTGTTAATAATTGAGTTCAATATTCTTAATACCGTAAGGCAGTGCCAAAATTGATAAGATTAATGAAAATCATATCAGGGCCAAGCAGCACTGTCCTCTCATTATCAGACACACTAATTGCTCCCTTTATTGATCTGGTGACGTAAAAATTAGACATTTCTAGACGTCTAGCATATTGTTGGTAAAAATTATCAAAATAACATGATATTATACATGCATATCTGTTATTTTGAACCAGTTTTGATTTCAGGTACATGTCAATGTTCATAAAATGTTCTTAGTAATAATAGATTAAGAACGTAGGCCTGCCATTAAACTCAAATTCATGTTGAGATATCGAACTATCACATCGATCATACTATCGATGATGTCGGAAAAAATCATAAAAAATACAAGTCAATAAAAGAGACTAAAGAGTGCAAATATTCATGCTAGTATGGCAGTGTATCATAAGTTTAGAAGTTGTCTTCTTTTAGAACATCTGGTAAGAGTTAAATGGGAACTCCATGAAATTCTGATATTTCACACTTTTTATTTTTCCAAATTTTCTTTCAAAGTTTCCAGACAACACAGGAGCTAACATTGACCTGTTTCCAGGTTTACTAAAAGTAGACAATGTAACGATACTTTCCTGAAAAAAGCAAGTAAATAAACACATGCCTTCATTATTATTTGAGGATAGACCTCAAATTACAAGAGGGCACCAGCTTATTGCACTAAACACTGAATAATCTGAAATATACAAATGAAAATTTGTGGCCAATATTAACATATTTTTCTTTATATTATGGCACAATAGTCTATAGATTCCTTATTTTTCAGGTTCAACTGCTTACCTTTGAAGCATGGGGGTATATAAAGTGAAAATATTATACCGAATGACAAAAGGCAGCATTATTGTGCAAAATGACTTACACAATCACGGCAACGAAGAAGACATCCATGTAAGAAGGCCCATGGAATACTGTAAAACGATTCATTCAGCAAAGCAATGAGTAAATTTGTCTCCACTTGGGATGAGTCTTGCTGAAAGCCCAGTTGAAAATAAAATACACAATGAGCCTTGCCTCTGGGCTTACTTCGGTCCAAAGCCTTCTCTATATTCCGGCTTTGAGTAGGAAGATTGAGCTGCCTTAGTATTATAATATTGTAAATCATTGTGTCACACGCACAGTAAATATGGCATAATAATATGAAATATACCTTTATGTATAGATTTGAAGAACATCAGCTCACATCCCCGTCTGAATCTATTGTTATATTTGATTTCTTTTAGCGAGAATAATTTCAAATTTTATTCACGTCCAGAACCGGAAGCCATTTTTAGCTACAGCGAGAAAATTTCACAATGTGTCAAACTCCAAAATGATTTGAAATATCTAAATCCAGACAAGTAACGCTTCATCCAAAATATGATTAATATTCTTAAAAATATTTATAAAATTTATTAAAAACGAGTTCTAGGTGCGTGTAGCACCTTTTCTAGATTACATACGAAATCAATGAAGTTACGTCTAGCTGTAAGCTAGAGACTCGAGTAACTCTGGGCAATTTGGTTGAAATTAAGGCATGAAAGAAAGAAGTTTTGACAAAACAGTCTAAGCTATAATCAGAGTATCAAATAATGGACTGAAAGAAGGTACTTGATTAAAATAAATAATGGAACATAAGTCTAAGCTTAATCCCTGTACACTGCACGAGTAAGGTCGAATCAAAAAACGGTTTTAAAAATAATTTCTGATAAAAATTCCCGCGATCGGAAAAAAATTGACATACTTCGTACAATGATGGTATTTGCTGGTGAATAATATCCACGAAAGTATGCTCAATAGGTAAACAACAAGGGAAGCAATGGAGTGGTGGACTATGATAATATCTTATACAGTAACAGTGCCTTAATTTACCTGCTTTGTGTCGATTTTATCCGAAGACATGTTTGTGGGAATCCAATATGGCGAATCTATGTCATGTGTGCCGGTTTCCAAAACGAGGCTACATTGAATTTCAGTGGGAGGGGGATTAAAGCCTCTTGCGTGTGTCGCTGCATTCACCGACAGTCAATTTTGAAACACATTCTTTCAGTTGTGTTTTTACAGTGTTTTGAATAACCCCTTTCTTTTCCTCTAACATCCTGCTAAGGATATCATTTTGCAATGACTATTTGAACACAATAAAGCATAAAGCGATGTAGCCAACATCTATTATAGTATTCGAAGAAAAGAACATACTGATAATACATGTACATACTGTAATAGGTTAGAATCTCTCAGTATAAAGCTAGACAAGGAGAAGGATATGTGAATGTCTCAAACAAAACAAAATATTCTCTATAAATAACTTGATCATCAAAATTGAGTCATAAGAATTGTGTCCTATTGGCAAATTCCTTCTCAAGCAGAGTTCCAGTGTCCACAAGGCATTAGCCAATAAAATGGGAGCAAATTAAATCCAACAACCGGTATAGTGGTATTATTACATTGACCTATCTTTAACCATAACCGGCTTCAGTCCAAGTGATTGATGAATAAATTAACGCTAAATTATCACATATTTAGTTCTTAATTATCACATATTTCGTTCTTAATTATCACATATTCAGAAATACATTATCACATTTTTAACCCTAGATTATTGTTCATTTAGTGATAAAGTAACACTAATAAATATTCACAAGACTATATATTAGATAGTATAAACCCTAACAGTGGTAAACAGATCATTTAGAATCAGATGTGTACATCTAGGGAATGAGTAACATCTGTTTTTCACATTTAAAGGATCATATTTTTGATACAAATGGTCAAAATTACTTCTTTTGCCTATTCTATTAAAATGCAGAGCTCTGACTACAAGCTTACAATGTGGACTGGACTTTATTTTTCTCAATTCGAATGAATTTGAATATAAGTGTTTTTTAATCTTCAATAACTCAATAATTCCAGACTTTTTTCAGATATTTAATTGAAAATTGTAATAGAGGAAACAGGGATTTTTGTAGATTGGTTCTAATATTTTAGACTTTCTATCCTTTTCTGTCACTTTAACAGCACTCCTTCTTCCTATGGGCAAAAACAGAAATGAATGCAATATAGCCCATGAAGGGTACTATAAAAATAAAGACAAATTCCTTTCATAAAAATATTTTATTATGAATATAGTTAGAATGCACAATTCACATTTCAGTATGTTTTGAATTCCACAATTTATTTGAAGCTTCCTAAGCTAACAAAGGGTGTCAGTAACAAAGGGTGCCTCAGTCACATTTGCTCTACTGCGGGCGTACGGCAGCCATATTAAATTGAATATACAAAATACACATCATACTGCTTTATTCTGCATATTTCACTAGATTTTGGGAAGTACGGTTGCTGTGGATCAAACTGACTGAGGCATAAACAATAGAATCTACTAAAACAAGTCAAGTTAAATACATTATAAACATGTACAGTAGTTTTAAAATTTTGGGAAATTTGCGTAATATTATACGTGTAGCTCTGAAATTCCAATATTTCAATTTCGCAAAATATGATATTTGTATAATTTCCAAGGAATTTATTTCACTTTAAGTGTTGACAGCACTTTTGTTCATTGAAGGGCGATAAAGGTTCAAATCCATTTGATTTGGTAAACATTTCAATTAAAATGACCCTTTTAATAAAATGAACCTCTTACAACCAAAAGGTTCAAAGGAGTCACAGAAATTCAAAAAGCAGAAAATAAGGAAAAATTATAACCACTAAATTCAAAATAACAAAATATTGTGAAAAATATATAGCGGCATATATTACGGGAGCACATTCTTCGAACACATTATGCTTGTAGCTGTACCAGCTACCTAATGAGGATGATTAACACTGGTCCTTAACTAGGGCAGAGGGGTGTAACGTTGATGTGTGGGGTAATGTCGACATAAGAGACGGGGTAACTTCGACACTTACTTATTAGAAGTGGAATTTCTGTCTTTCACCATGTTTGATTTCTGGAAAAATTGAAATCTCGCTAGATCTCGATCCATGCGAGAAAAAAAAATTGGGCTTTCCCCCTAGATTGGAAATTAGAGCAAATAAACAACAAGGTGTCGAAGTTACCCCACATGTCGAAGTTACCTCAAAATGGTGTTGATGTTACACCCCTTCGCCCTAGTTGCAAGAAACAGATTGTACTTGTCACATGACTGCATGATATCATGATGATTGGATTCCAAATCAGTGGTTTTTGATACAGATTAGTATTCTATTTGCCATCTGTAACAGCTTTTGGCCAGATTTTGAGATATTTGAGGTAAAAAGGTCATTTTCAGATTGAAGAAATGTTTTTTCGAAATCGCCAGACATTCATATTTGACCCTCAATTTGAGATCCTGAACTTACACCTTACATTTTTTTGAAACAATAGCAAACAACTTGAAATAAATCCAAGCGCAATCTATTCTTGTAACTACATGTAGATAGCCACAAAAGCTTATATCAAATAATAAACAAGGCATTAACATGCAAAATGTCACCACCTGCAATTTGTGATGCCGAACACCAATCGCTGAACGTTATGCCGAACGCCAATCGCATCAAACATCAACCACTAAAGACCATTTACAAAAAAGTTGGAGACTCTAACAATGTCACAACTTCTGGGTATGACATAAAAAATCATTTTAAGTTGGCCCATAAAGTCCTAATATAGTTGAGATTGAAGCCTTAGTTAATTTCACAAGTCAACCTCAACATGTCTGTGACAATTGGGCAAATTGGTGTACAATAACACTGCATGGCACTGTTTTGATGCAGCAGTGGTACATTTTCAAGTACCTTTGTGCCCTTAAAATCTTTTTGCCAATCAAGTATACAGTCATTACAAGGTCAAGAGTCATAACTGGTTTGTGATTATATATTTTACTCAAAGAGTAATTTTCTGAATGGTAGTTGAAGTCATGAGTAAACTCACAAATAAATGCTGCCGCATTGTCATTTTTCAGTTTACATTTCCTTGTCTCTTCTTTGCCGATCATCTGTGCATTCATTCAAGTTTTCAAATAACTTTGTCCGAAGTAACTTACTTGAGTATTCAACTCACTCAAATATTCCATTTCTCAAGTATAATGCTTCATGAAACATCCACATTCTCATTTCACTCATTATACTATGTCCTTTTACTGATGTCATGTTGCATTTGATCCTTTACAGATGTCACAATGTCTGAAGTCAAATTTTAATATGATGTCACATCAGTCACTATCACTGTCTGATAACTGATCTTTTTTACTTGATTTTTTATTGGACTTGGCACCTTTCTTTTTAGTACTTTTTGGAACTTGTTTCTTTTCTTTTGCTTTTAGTCTCGCAGCTGCTTTTGCAAGTTGTCTTTTCTTTTTGCTTTGTTGAGTTCTGTAGCCTCTGACAACTTCTGGGTGGCCTTCTTCAATCATTCTAGCTTCCCAGACCTCCATTTCTTCTACATATCTCTTTTTATCTGCGGCTGCCATGGCATAGAATTTCTGAAACAAAAGAGAAGGATTGTTTTATGGTGCAGATAGCAATAAACTGACTATCAAAGGGAATTTAGAATACATCTAAAAAACGAATATCTCAAACATATTAAAGAGTTCTCTACACAATGAAATCCCTGTACTGTATGTGTAGCAGTATCCCCTATCACTTTTTAACACAAAGAGTTTCATAAATTCTTAAATGTTGACAGTATTAAAGAATTACGACATCCTTGCATGAGACACTAAAAATTACAAAATCCTACGTTGTACTAAAAATTCCTCCACTCCAAAACATCCCAGGAGGTGTACAGAGGTGGATCTGAAAGCTACCAAGGGGGCCAAAATTTCAAGTCTATAAAAACATTTTTGCACTTGGACAGAAAAAAATTTGGCCCCTGAACCCCAAATTTGGCCCAAATTTTGAAAACATAGGGCCCATTTTCTTGGTAATTTGGCCTTCAATTAAAAAATAAGGCCTAGTAATGCCCAAAAAGGCCCACTAATTAGTGTGCTAAACATTTTTGGGCCATGGTTTATGATATTCCCTACCTGTTTGTCTTCCTCAGGTGTTCTTAACCAAACCTCAGCAGCTCCCTTCATAAACATCTGAAAAAGCACAACATAAATTGTCTGGGATTCAATGAAACACTTTTGGGGACTATGGATCTCCCTCATGAATTGTATGTTGAGATGGCAAAGCCCACATAAGGGATTTGTGCATGAGTGTTTTTTTTTTATTTCAACCAAAATCTGATAATGGATCCAGTGATATAATCAGTGAAACTTAGTCAGCTAGTCTTGTTGGGGCAGTGCATAACTTAACATTTATGTCATCCGGGTTTGAACATACGGTTCATAAATTGTCTATACTATATGAGCCAGGCCACAGGAAAAGGGGTCTTATCACAGATTTTTTCAATATTTTGATTTTTTTTTATCTTAAAAAGCACAAAGAGACCTTTCAAATGAGTCATGGCTTATGTCTTAACAATTTTTCCTTGCATATATAGACCAAAAAGTCTGATTTGAATCTAGCACATTTTCCTCTTAATCTTGGGCACATTTTTGGCTCTGTAGCACAATTTTAATTTTTGTGATAAGATCGGGGTTCCTATGGCCAGGCTCATATATATTGTATATGATATTAGGTAGAATGTTTTCGCGAGGTGCAAAGATTCAATTATTTTTATTTCAAATAGTTGGAATCCTATTTTTCAAAATATTGAGTTGGTATAGCACGAACTTGCCTCAATATAGGAGACAGGGAGAGACAACTGCATGTTCACTTACCCTTACAGGTGCATCTCCTCGTTCTAGTTCAGACTGTTTGAAGAAATAGGTAAAAGAATTCAATGGCTTCTTTGGCATACCCATCTTTACCAATTTCTGAAATAAAGAACAATCAAATTGATTAATAAATATGACATTAGTTGGATACCCAGCTTTACCAATTTTTGAAATAAAGAACAATCAAATTGAGTAATAAATATGACATTAGTTGGATACATGAATACAAGTTGATTGAAGTACTCTACCCTTTTTTAAACAGCCCTTGTATTGATCAAATAAAAAATAATAAATGGAAGTAAAGGACTGAAGGAGGGGATACTAGATGGATCTTTTGGAAGAAACTCTAATCTCTTGAATGACCAGAATAATTAATAATATTTCTGTCACAAATAAAATCCAGGGGAACCCAGAGCAACAGATATATCTGTCACGTAATTTTACACTAAAACTGCTCTCACTTTGACAATTTATGTTTTAAAATGTATGTTATGGGTCTATATTTGCTAATCTTATGAAATCAAACATGAAATATATGAATTGTGTATTTAGATGTAAATGTCCAAAAACCGGCAAAACAGAAAAGTGCTCTTGTTTCAAACTCTTTTTAGAGGCTGGTATTCTGACTAATCTCTATCTTACTCCAAAAGGGCATTTAAGTAAAATAAGAATTCAAATTTACCCTTCTATTTGCACATAGCTTCTTTCTGTGACGTTTAGTCCTCTTGCTGTTTTCAATGTTTTCTCTCTGTTCATCAGTTAGGCTGTCCATGTAGGCACGATGATCTATGAGCCATTGTTCCAATTTCCCCCTTTGTCGTGCATTATACTCCTGTAGAAAATAAGAATAAGATAATTAAAACCTTAATCTGAGTCTAGCTTTATTATGTGCTTAATACTTTTGGGATAGTACAAATCATCAAATTGTTTGAATCATGTATCATACCATGGGATTTCCATATTAAAAATTCTAATAAAAAAGACTGCCATACAAAATTAGGATGTATGAGCCTTACATTGAATCACCACACATACTGTATTGGAGATATGAGCCTAACTATTGAATTGAATCACCTACATTTTACAGAGTTCTTTGACTGATTCTTTTCAGATGGCATATTTTGATCTACATGTATAACATAAAAAAATTGGAATTCAAGCAGAAAATATATACTTTTTATTAAACTATTGTCAGATCGGTTTTTACAATGTCAACATTTCAACTTGAATAAGCACATACTTGATTAATTATGATAAAATTTATAGTTTTTCATACAATATGTCAATGTTTTGTGACGGTTATCGTGGAAAGAATATGTCAATGCCTTAACAGCTTATTTCCATGATAACCGTCACAAATTAAAACAAATAGTACCATGGGCACTGGGCTAACATGGTGTTGCCCAAAAAGAGAAAAGTGAATGATGACTAAAATGTCAGACAATAAATAAAATAAAACAGGAATTTTAGCAAAATTATTTCATACAAACTAAACTACTCTTTACATTGACATGGCTTTTTACAATGCAAGACACCTGAAATTATTTATAAAGCTACCAATGGTCCAAAGTGAATTTTGTGCGACAAAATGGCAGCCATTTTGGAAATAGGCAAGCTTTTGAACCAGGAATCATAGGGGGTTTTCTGTATTGATGTTGAACAAACATAACTTAAAACGGGAATCCTATCAACAGAGATTTTAAAACGTGCCACTATGGTGAACTGACTGAGAGACAGATGGACAAATCAATGTGAACTAAAATGGATAATACTTGTTTAATATTACAACAAAGCTGAAAAGGTTTGTACTGAAAACACGAAACTGAAATTAGATGACTTAAAAAAATATTTGAATAACCTTTGACATTTAAAACCACTGTTAAATAACTGGTTCTATGACAAATGATTCATGACATGATTGTGTATTGATTGAACAAAGACATTTTTTATACACATTTACAAAATAACTTAAAATACTGTAGATTGGGTTAATTTGGCGCTACTTAATTCGGCGATTTTGCCATTTTTGGCATATTGGCGGCTATTTATTTTGGCGGATATGCAAAAAAAATGTCAATGCAATGTTAAACTTACAGGCTGTTTACGAATTACCATGTAAATGGGCATGTTTGGCTATGTTCATTTTTTCTTTTGAGGACCACTGGCGATATTCACCACGTTTGTACATGTTGTACATTTTTGTGAGATCATTTACATTTTGCACCTCGATCAATGCTGCTACTATAACGCGCTTTTCCTTTCTAGTTTTTCCCTGAGTATTAATGAGTGACTGACCAGTTCTGAGCCAATTTATGAGAGACATTTTTTCATATTTTTGGAAAAAACTGAACTGGAAGTGACCTAAATACACTAGACGAAATACCCTAGATAATTCCTGGGGATTCATTCTAAATTTTGACGAAGATTTATATTGGTGAATTTTTCAATTTCGCCAAATTTGCCAAATTAAAGCGGGCGCCAAATTAACCCAATCTACAGTATACATTCTAAGATTGCATATACAGCAAATAGAGTACAACTGATGTCAATGATTGGGCCATCATATTGATATTCTAAAAATTTATAATAAAAATACAACTTCTGAGAAGTGTGCTTTGACATAAAAGAAAAGAAATTATATTGAGCATTAACTCAAAAAGGGTGGTGTAATTGGTTCTTCAGTTATCTTCACGCCCCTAAAACTGCTAAAACTAATAATGTGAAATATTGTTGGAGGGCATTGGAACAATAATATAATAGGTAGTTAAAATACTTTACATATCAGCAAAAAAGGATTTGGACACATTATATTTAAATAGGCATCAAGAACAAGAACATCTAGATATTAAAGGACATTGTACATGTAAGTAGCATGTTTATTTTCATATTCATAAATACACATGTTTACTTGAAATTTGCTTGTACAATTAAAAGTGCCTCAAGCACAAAATAGTGGTTAAAAAAGCAAAAAGTGCACTTCTAGGCCTATTACAGTTTGGGCCTCTCAAAGTCTAAGTACATGTACATTTAGTCTGATGCAATTTGTTAAAGTAATCATAAACAATTTATTTGATTTGGCCTATATGTACAGTGTGTCTCAAAAAAAATGTTACACTTACGAAATGTTCAATATCTTTCATGATTTTGACTTTTCCCCTAAAATATACTTTGATACCAAAAGACAAATCTTTGTCAAATAAATCCACACCATCAGATTCAAAATCCGTCCATGATTGACCACACAGGACAGATTTTATAGATGCATGTGAAATCTTATTTGCTCCAACTTCTCAGTGGTTGGATATATGGTGATCAATTCTTTTTTGGTGTGAATGCTGTGGACAGTGATATCTTGATATGATCAATGATCCAGTTGTTTCTTTCCTGGATAGAATTACAAGATTTCATTGTCAGAGTGTTCAATTTTGATACCGTATGATTACAGAATGACTCAGTTAAAGGTCAAGTTTCTACTCAGAAAAAATGTTAAAGAAACTGTTCCGCTTTTGTCATTTGGTCCATCCAATCACTTAGAAGTTGGCACAAGTCAGATTTTACCATGGGACACTAAAAGCTGTCCTGTGGAGCCAATCAAGTACAGATTTTGAATCTGATGGTGTCAAATTATTCCAGAAAGATTTGTCTTTGGTATCTAAAGTATATTTTAGGGGAAAAGTAAAAATTATGAAAGATATTGAACTTTTTGTAAGTGTAACTTTTTTTTTGAGATACACTGTATAATTGAGTTGGACAATATAATTTGTTTAAATTGGCCTACCTTAATTTGTTAAAATACAATTTATCTAATTAGGCCTCTGAAAAATTTGAAACAATTTGTAAAGTAAGAACTTAGTCTGATACAATTTGTTAAGCAGCCTTTACAATTTGTTTCAGCACACAGATGGAGGAGGCACTAAACATCCATGATGCTCCGTGTAACAGTGGGAGTGTTTCCACATCCAGTGAGGCATCACAAAGACATCTGCACAATCAACTTAAACCAAAGAATGAACAGACGAGTGCCAAAAAACATGGACTCCATGAATTGAAATTGCACCGTGAAATTGGGTTATCTTACCAGGTTTGGGATATAGCTGTTATGGACAACAATGCAATTGCTCTGGCCTCAAAGAACAGGGGGTTATTTCTATGTAAACCCCCAGATTATAAGATGGAACTGATATGTGATATCCCAACAAAGAAAATAACAGCTCTTAAGGAAAACCATCTTGCAGCAGTGAAAGAGAATCACTTTATAATAGTGATACTTGATGAGTTGGGTGAAATTCTCTGCACCCTCGACTGTATCGATGATCCATATTCAATAGTGGCAACACCTGATGATCAACTGATAGTACAGCACAAGGGTAAAGATGGCAAGTATCCAAACCAATTATCCACAGTTGACCATAGATCCAACATGGTATTATCAACTATAGAGGTCATATCTATTGACGATTGGAAATGCAGCATCGCGTGCAACTCACAGGGTATAATAATCATAGCTTTCGGGTGGACCAATCTTGAAGACACTATTATCGGGGTCAATAGTGATGGGGAAATCATTTTCCAGTATAAGAGATCTGATGGTTACCCGCTTGATGGGGTTTGGACAACATGTATCGACCGACGTGATAACATCATAATTCCTTGTAGAGAAAACAACAAGCTCCATATCTTGAATTCCCAAGGTCAACTCATGAAGCTTTATAACACAGAAAATGTGTCCATAGAACGACCACACATTGTAGCCACTGATAAACAAGGACATCTCATCATTACAAATCAAGTGAAGGGAAGTAAGATGTTTATCGTGGATTACATGCACCTGGAGTAGAAATCCTGGAGAGTAACATTGAAAAGCATACTCAAGGATGCAAACAAATATTCAACAGGATGCAGGACCAAAGCGTTATAATATGGGGAGACCACTAAATATGCTTCAAAATCTGGATGGGACAATCCTGGAGCATGTTTATCTAGTTATTTATCCTGCACATTATATAGACATAATATCTATAGAAACTAGAAAATATTTGAACATGTATTTATAACTTGGTAAATGTAAAATTCATCATTGTACAATTAGTGTATTTTGGTGAAATAGAACATGAATGTCAATTTGTCAAGGTAGTTATTTGGAAAAATCTTTACCTCAATCTTATTAACTCATATCCAGTGAGAATCGCCCTATTTCCAGAAGTTTTTTATTCTATTCTGTATTCTATGAGAATTAGTTCAAAACTTGAGAAACTACCTGCTGGATGCAAATAATACTGAAAATTTGGTAAGATTGCAATCAATATGAACTCAATAAAAAGGAAAGACCAATCCCAATGCAACAGACAAAACACTGCACTAAAGATTTATTATAAGTCTTGCTTCAAGCTACTGCACCCCCCCCCCCCCCCGCATCCCCATTTTCACAGGGAAATAAATAAACAAGGAGGTGGGCGATAAGATGGTGATTAGTGGCTTGATGCAAGGCTACAACATACATTTACTCTATTTTCATTTCTAAAAACTTGTTACATACCAATTTTTTTTCTGGTGATAGCTGACTCCACATTTCGCCCGTTTTCCTTGCTACTGATTTCATATCTGGCACTAAAATGAAAAACAGATTTCAATATGAAATACTAAATATTACTGAAATTATAATTCCAAAAATCTAACAATGTGTATTTTCACTCTTTGAGAAGTCTTCAAACAATTTTTTAATCTAGCCTTTTATCAGAAGTTTCAGAATATTTGGTACAAAAACAACGACTCAATCTGATTGGTTAAAAAAAATGAGTAAGTCAGAGAATGGCCTCTTAATAGCATGTCCCCTTTGATGAAAATCACTTTGGTGCCTTTGTTAGAAAATGGGTCTCAAACATGATGAAATTGACACTTTCAGCGACTTTCAGAAGATTTTTAACATGGTGGCGAATGGGCGTCAGAAAATGTGGTAGGGGGGGGGGGGGGGTCTAATTGGGCTGAATTTTTTTATAATTTAAGGGCATGTAAATGGTTATTTCCTTTAATTAGCACTAAGATCTGAGAAAAAGTTGAAAAAATGATCCACCCTATTAGTAACTTTTCAACAAAAACATTGTTGTATTATGTATGGTATAAGAGTTAGACTCTCAAAATCATAAGATATAATATGATCTAAAAATATTATTATAAGAAGACTCATGGTAGACCCCAAGAGGTAAGCACTCACAGGTTGGATCTTGCCTTAATTTGGGTAAATTCTCTTGCATGAAGACCAAATATCCAGAGATCGGCTTCTTTGGAGGTTTCACTATTAGATCGTCAGTAGAAAATAAACGTTGGAACACATTTTGTACTGCAAAAATAGGCCTGAAAAATATGAATACAACATGAACAATGTAACTTATTCTCTCTCTCAAAGATAGTTCAACCCAAAGTGACCCGTGCATCGAAACAAGCTATTTTTCTAAGTGTGACCACTTTCAAGGCCAGCTAAAAGAAATATTAGGAATTAAAGGTATTTCACATTTGAAACTGCTCCCGATGCTAGACAAAAAATTTAAACATTCATTTTTATAAAAAAAAAATTGACAAGGCATTTAACATAACAAATGTCACCACCAAGTTGTTCACAATATTATAAGTTCCATCTTATAGTAAGATTTGAAACTCTGCAGATGATTTTGAAAAAACATTGGTCAATTTGAAGCAAGTTTTTTGACCCTGAGAAGGTCATTGAAGGTGAAATCTCAAATCTAAAGTCAGATTTGAACTTCTGAGAACTTGTAAATGCTTTTGAAAACAAAATTGGTGAATTTGAAGCAAGTTGAAAAAAGACCTTTTCGACCTTGAGAAGGTCATTGAAGGTCAAATCATTTTTTACCCAGAGACTGTCATTGGAGGTCAAATCTATAGTCAGATTGAATTTTTAAGAACTTTGAGATGATTTGAAAAAAAATTGTTTAATTTGAAGCAAGTTGAAAAAATACCTTTTTGACATTACTTTGACCTTGAGAAGGTCATTGAAGGTCAACTCTTATATCTTAAGTCAGATTTGATCTTTGGATAACTTGTAGATGATTTTGAAAAAAAAATTGTCAATTTGAAGCAAGTTGAAACAAGACCTTTTTAAAACCTTTTTTTGACCTTGAAAAGGTCATTGAAGGTCAGATCTTAAATGTTAAGTCAGATTTTAATTTCTGAAAACTTGTAGATGATTTGGAAAAAATTGAAGTCAGTTTAAACAGTATTTCTTAAGTTATTGTAAGTTTTAGAATTTATTACAGATGCCAACCGGCGTCCGCCGATCACCAACCACCAACCGCTGCCACAAAAAAACAGATACCATAACAATATGTCACCACTTCTTGTTGGTGACATAAAAAGACCCAATACATCTAGGTCTCTTTCACCTTCAGAGTGAGTAGAATCAAGACGCTTATTCTGGTGACCAGTTCATGGTTAAAATAAGGAAATGATGTGATGTTACCATGTGTCTACTTACCAGTTTGTTCTACAGGGTGGGCCAAAAAAAACCAATACCCAACTTCAAATCAGGATAAAAATAGTTACATTCAATATGGTACATTGACTTACATATTATTTTAAAGGTTATACAATTTCAAACAATTTGGTTTATAACACTATGTCATGAAATCAATAGTAAAGTTTTATTATACTTATTTCGGAGGCCGGGTTGCTATTTAAGGTCTCCAGATTTAAGGGAGAAAATAGTAAATCTGCGGAATTATGTTATTTTTTTATTTATAGAATATCATTCATTTGTTAGGTGAATACATGCTTGAATATTAATTTTTGCATCATTGTGTGACTAAACTTATTGTTTATGAATTTCAGTGTTGTTTAATAACATTTTACACTTTATTTATCTAAACAATTTTCACAATTGCTCAATATACCCCCACCCCCTCCCCTCTGCATCAACAATAAGCTTCAAGTGGTAGTGCAATCTATCAATAGCCTTATTGAGAGATTTCTGTTGCAATTCATTTCAGCACTTTAGGATTCTGTTTCAACTCATCAAAGCTGTTTATTGGATGCTTTTGATTGTACCATTTCCTCGAGATGGCTCCATGTATGGTAATCAAACACATTACATGTAGCATCGGGGCTGTTGGGTGGCCGAGCATCGAGATAAATCAAATTGACACCTTGTTTGCAAAGGAATGCCAATGTCTCCTGAGATCTATGGTACGAGGCAATGTCTTGTTGGAAAATAAAATCCTCGTCACATATACGTTTCATGTCTTTTAACAGACCCCCTTTGAGTACTTATTGATAATAAACAACACTAAAATTCATAAACAATAAGTTTAGCCACACAATATGCAAATATACAAGCATTTATTCACCTAACAAAATGATATTCTATAAATAAAAAATTAACATTATTCCACAGATTTACTATTTTCTCCCTAAAATCTGGATACCTTAAATACCGACCCGGCCTCGCAAATAAGCATAATAAAACATTAATATTGGTTTCATGACATAGTGTTATATACCAAATTGTTCGAAAATGGATTACCTTTAAAGTGATATATAAATCAATGTATCATATTGAACATAGCTATTTTCAGTCTGATTTAAAGTTGGGTATTGGTTTTTTTTGGCCCACCCTGTATATCATCCATCCTGCTAGGTTAAATTGTGGAACTCAGCCAAACACGACACTGAAGGCAGTATTCTGAGGTTATAAAATTTAAATATAAAAAATTTCCCCTTTGCAGCCCCTTGGAGATTTCCGGAATTGAACAAAGTAGCGAACATTGCGATCTTTCAACTTTAGTTCGTTGTTTTTCACCACTTTATGTTTTCATTTAGTAGGTGGTCTTATTTGAACACATCATTTCATGTCTTTAATCAATATCAATAGATCAATAAGCAGACTAATAATTCAAATTTAGCAGTTTCGTTCGTTGCGTACTGGGCCTGCTAGGCACAAAATACAATTCAGCAGTTTCGTGCATTGTGTAATTGGGCCTTCTATGATCAGTAGCAAAAGCTCGCGAAAAATTTTCCACCGTTTTCCTTGAAGAGACGGTTGGGCGACACATCATTAAGTCACATGATCCATACAGTAACTAGTCATTTGATGTGTCACGTGATGAGTCACATGAGCTCGCAAAATAGACGATCTAAATTTCCAAAAATTCTGCTAAGATCAATATCGATATGTTGTTGCCTTCATTGTCGAGTTTGGCTGCGTTCCACAATGTAACCTAGCAGGATGCATGACATAGAACAAACTGGTAAGTAGACACATGGTAACATTTCATCATTTCGTTATTTTAATCATATAAACTGGTCACCAGAATAAGCGTTTTGATTCTAAGGGCATGTGCAATCTGCGTGAGGTTCGGTTATATTTGGGTAGGTTTCGAGCATGCAGAAAAATGAAAGTACTCCGTTCCAATGAATTAAACAAACAAAAATGAGAGTCCAAACCAGAAGTCAAAAGAGTAACTGCACTTTCAGTTTTATAACTGAATAATGAAGATTGATATAGTTGGGAACAAAAATAAATGACACACAGATTTTCTATCACCATTTCCTAACCATGGTCATCTGAAAGCCCATAATTTCCAATATTGTCGAGATACATATCCCTAAAATTTGTATATTTTACATCTTTTATAATCTCATCCACTGATGTATGGCCTCTTGAAAATTCTCTTATTTATAACATGGGAAATCCTCACTTCAGCAAATCCACTAGCCTTGCCCAAGTCGATTCTTTTAATTATCTTGATTTCTATTATGACTGCCTTGTACCAAAGAGAAAGCCCCATGCTTTACCGACATTTTGTTGATGTCAGTAAAACTTGACCAATCAACGACGGCCCTATAGCGTTAGCTCATTATTATGCATGGTCAAAAACAAGTACACTTTTCACCGGGACTTTTCACCAACAAATCTTCCACGAATCTGAGCACGAATTCATCATGAAAATACAAACATTTTATCAGATAAATATCAATGAGAGTTTAGTGGATGCCGGGGCATGGATCGGATGACCAAAGGTGAGAAGATGTCAACTATAAACGTTGAAACGATCGCTGAACATGTAGGCTAAGATTCAATCACCGACGACAACATGACCTGCTACATTGGACTAGGTCTTCGTGCATTTTCATCGCGAAATCAGTTTTAAATCAACATTGAATCGCATGATTTAATCCATATTAATGACTCTTACCTTCCAATGTACATTTAATTACATAATATATTGTTACTCTAACGAAACACTCGATCAGATCATTGAATTTCAAGTCGTAGATGGGATGTTTGTTTTGTTTATGCGGCTCAACCTGATAACGTTTTGATTGGTCATTCAGCCTGAAGTCACATGTCCTGTCCATGCGATATCTGTCGATCAATATGGTTTTGCGATACCCCTGATAGCGTGGGTATTATGGAAATCTCGAAACCGTTGAATATTTCAGCATAATAACAGCGGAGATGTATTGGATTGTACAAGGCGGTAATAATTCAAGATCAGATAAGTAAAAAAATACCGACTTGGGCAAGGCTACAAATCCACCAGTCATTTATTTATGTTCCAAACTCTCACTGTCTGTGGCCAAGAAGATACAGTTGGGGACATAAATAAATGACAGGTGGATTTGCTGAAGTGAGGATTTCCCATGTTAAAAATAAGAAAATTTACAAGAGGCCATAAATCAGTGGATGAGATTATACAAAATGTAAAATATACAAATTCTAAGGGATATGTATCTAGACAATATTGGAAATTATGGGCTTTCAGACCACCATAATTAGGAAATGGTGATCGAAAATCGACCTGTCATTTATTTTTGTCCCCAACTGTACCAATTTTTTGGATGAGCACTGAAGTGAAATTATGCCGATGCAACTTGAGCAGTTTTGGATGCATCCGATACTTGAACATTAGGAAAAATTATAGTTGCGATTTACCTCACTCCACTTGTCGTTTTAGGCTGCAAACAGCGTAAAGAACTCAAAACTTTATACAGCAGCATCTTCGCGCTTTTTGACCGGATGTGATTTCTAAATAACAAACTTTTTTTTGAAACGAAATTTATCTTCATTAGTTTTTCTCCTTGTGAAATACAACAGTAAATAAATCTTCTCGATCATTTTAATTCATTAGATTTTATTGTTTAGTAGTATTTGTTTGATTATTTTATTTCTACACTATTTAAAATTCTGGTTTCATAAAGTCCGCTAAAAGTTTGCCATCTGCATCTTCATCAACAGAAAAGGTAAAAAAAATTCCTCCTTCCTTTTCATGGTTTTCACTTATTTACTGGCGATGTAAAACATATTCTATCCACTGAGTAGCATAGGCTGAGGGAAATGTAGTAGAATAAACGCGATATAAAATATCCCTCATACATTGTTGATAACATTATATTTGGAGCACACAGGGATCCCCAGTTCCCACATTCTTCCTGCATCAGATACACAGGGAGGGAGTCTAATATGAGGTTATATAATGGTTGATTCCGTATATCGTGTTTATACTCAAGTGAGTATATGATATATTCACGAGTGACTGAAGGGGTTTGTAGAAAAAACCGGGTACCGGGTAGTAAATCCTCCATGCTGGGTTCATACTTGGTACCCGGTACCCGGTCAAAAAAACCGGGTACCCAAAAAACGAAAAATATGAATATACAACTAATTAGATTATTAGAAAACGTGTAAGATTTGTTTTGAATATACAAAAATGTTATCCCGTTCCCGGACTATAGTCCTGCACTGAGCGCATTCATTTGCCTGTACGATTACAACTTGGGAGAATTATCTACACCCCTTACACTTAAGATACCTACCTCAATGCATTATAGAACTCAAGATGTAACTTCTAATATATTGGAACCGCCGATTGTCTGGGTATATCGGCAGAACGGGAACATTTCTCTTTTTCATCGAGAGAGATTCCATCACTTTTCAAAATGGCGGTTGGATTTAAAAGGGGAATCCCCCGTTTGGCTGTCCCGGATGTAGCCCGGAAGTACCAATATGGAGGAATTTGACGGTTGAAATAAGTTAAATGTTACACGCAAATATTGCGATCAAAAACGAAAATGTCTTCGTTCTGCCGATAAACCCAGACAATTGTGGATTCAACTACACGAAAAGAATGCTAAATTACCAAGGAATCTATTGAAGTAGGTATCAGAAGTGTAAGATGAGTAAAAAATTCTCCCATGTTGTAATCGCACAGGCAAAAGATTGAGATGTTCACAGGACCATAGTCCGGGAACGGGATAACAAAAATGTATGTAACTTCCCTCAAAATTGAGCCAGAAGCTTCAAATGAAAAGCATTTTAAGGCTCTTTTCTTCCTCTATCATCATGGTCATATTTTCATCGGTTATTAGGCCTGTCAACTGTCCCGCAATTTGCGTATTTGTCACGCATTTGCTGAAGAATTTGAAGTCACGCCAGAAAATGTCACACAAATACGCATTTTACCTGGTAATTGTCAAGCAAAAATATTTCTGTAGAAAAAATTCTAAAACAGTTCGCCGATACAGCAAAAATACGAACACCAAAAAAACGTACGCAATCCGTTCGGACTTTTCACGCGAATCACGTATATGTCACGCATTTCATTCGAAATTTTTCGTCACCTCTAATTTCAATAGTTCGTATGTTGGTACGTGAAGTTTTGATTATGATTTAAATCTGTAAATAGCTATCGTTACTTTAGCAGAGAGGTGACGTGTGTTAATTTACATGATGCAACGTGTAAGATTTTGATTATTAATCATAATTTAAGTTATCCCAACGTCCACTGAAGTGTAAATTGTTACGTCTTACAATGTCATAGGCGATCGCACCCCACCCCATAACCTATGAAAATATGACCATGATGATAGAGGAAGAAAAGAACCTTAAAATGCTTCTTATTTGAAGCTTCTAGCTCAATTTTGAAGGAAGTTACATACATTTTTGTATATTCAAAACAAATCTTACACGTTTTCTAATGATCTAAATATGTTATATAATCGTATTTTTCGTTTTTTGGGTACCCAGTTTTTCGACCGGGTACCGGGTACCAAGTTTGAACCCAGCATGGAGGATTTACTACCCGGTACCCGGTTTTTTCTACAAACCCTATACTCATGAGAGTATATAACGACATACACTGTACAGAATCAATCATTATATGATCTTATATCCCACCCTACTGTAAGTGCTTTATATGATTGTATTATAGCATTGTATAACTGCAATATAAAACCAACACTCATCGTATACAACTCTTGAGAACGATAAACAACTCTTGGATATAGCGTATACAACTCTTGGGCAGCGTATACAACTCTTCGACTTGATATACAAATGCTGAATTTAGATTAACCTGTTATTGATTAAGATTAGGGTAGGATAATAAGATCCTAGCTGATACAGCTGACAAAATAACGTCAGAAAAGGAAGATGTAATTGGTAGAAAATTATCAAAATACAGCAGCATTCGCGCTAGGCATTTTCAAATCTAAGTCCCAGGACCCAAGGGCTTTTAAAAATCTGGGTCCTCTCCAAAAAATTGGGGTCCCAGCCTGAGCCATGATTTTTATTTCCCGCCAATCAAACATATAATTCACATGACTTGTCACGTGATATGTTGACCTAGATATTTGAGTGATGATTTACAGGTCAAATTTATTACCGATTCAATCGTTTTTAGGCAGACACAATTTAAGGAAATGTTTCATAATACATAATGAATTCATTTTTTATAATAATGTGCGATAATCGAATTGGAAAATGAAGAAAATGGCACTTCTTAGTGCAACTGATCGAAAGATCGTTCGCCATTTTGTCCAAGAGGAAGATGATCGGTAGCGAATGAATTGTGGGAATGATTTCTGCAAGATCGACAGTTTAATTGGCTTACAAATTAAGCATGTGATCAATGGAATCATGGGAGGTTATATTGTTTATTCAACGCATGCGCGTCATCACTATATTTACAAACACGGAAGTGGAAAAAAATCAGAATATATCTTTTGTTTTTAGTGCAGTTTACGTTCAGTTTTTCATCGATTATTAAGGTAAGGGTTTATGAAATTATCCATGACAAGTAAATTTACGTCCTGGGGACGCAATAGAGCTAAAATATCGGGGTCCTGGGCCAAAAATCTGCGTAAATACGCAAGTTTTTTTGCGTTAACGGGAAGGCTGATACAGGCTGATTATGTTTTTAGAAAAAAACTTGTCAGTAAGTAAGTTTTAAGTTCTTTCAAATAAACACCCTGTACAAAATAAATGCACAGTGGGCCTAGTTGAGAGAAACTCATGTCTACGTTTACTGAAAAATAATGAAAATGCAATGATATTTAAAAGTACATATATGTAAGTGTATTAAATTACACAAAAGTTTTTTACAAATGTTGACTCGGGAATAGAAAAGGTTTAAAAAGTAAAATACTCAATAGTTTTGCCTGATATGTAAATGGTAGATGAATGGTACTGTCAATAGGGCGACGTGACTTGCATCAAGGACGTCTACCAGACTTCTTTCTTTGCATTCAGTACTATGCAATTTATTTTCAATCATCCATTCAGAGGCAACATGTGATAAATAGGTCTATTGTAATAAAATGGAATATAAGTGACACATCAAAAGGACCAACATGAAATAACAAGGTTCCCATTGTGAAAAATGCCAGTTTTTTAAACCATATATAAAGACAATATTGTCAATTTGTTCTTAGAATAAGAACTGAATCCTAGGAGCTATTCTAGTTTCTATATTGCTTTGAATTAATCTAAAGACTGGTTTGCATAATTTTAAGTAAGCCTTCAATGTTTCAGACTCCAAGTAAATTTTGATGGTGATGGTTTAATGAAACATACAAAGCATAATAGTGGCATTTATTAAGTGACTTTCAGAAATCAATAACAATATTTTCTCTGTTTCAGAAATATGACACACTTGAATAGGGCATTGTTTCAGCATAGGGTATAGTTCCGGCATAGGGCATAGTTCCAGCATATCGCATAGGGCACAGTTCAAACTCACTTTGAGGCTTAGCTATGGCAGAGAATTGGACAACACAGGAAGTAGCTAACTGGCTCCAGCAAAACAGCTTCGGCAAATACGTTGGTGAACTAACTGAAGTCCACAAGATAGATGGCGCTGCATTGTTAACTCTAACAGAAGATGACCTTCGTCAACCGCCCCTACAGATTCGGGTTCTAGGAGATATAAAACGTTTAATTCTAGCTGTAAAAAAATTACAAAGAGACAATCAAGCTGCTATTGATTTAATGGGTTACCACAATCAAGTGTTTCAGGTCGCAAGAAATGACCCTCAGAATGGAAGTCCGGCGATTTTAAGAGACAATTTACAACATCGTCACTTTGAGCGTTTAGATAGTGACTCAGTTTACTCAGAAGATGGCACTGATATGGCAGTCGATACAAAATGTCGCCTTTTAAGGAATCCACGTCCTGAATACTGGAAAACAGCACTTAGTTTTGTATACGCTTTCACGGTGTTTTTATTAACTGCATTTATGATGGCGGTGTCCCATGATCGGGTGCCCGACCCAGAGAAGTACCCCCCTCTGCCTGATATATTTTTAGACAATATGCCATATGTACCATGGGCATTTGAGATATGTGAGGTGATAGCTGTCATTATGATGAGCATATTTGGTGGATTGTTGGTGTTTCATAGACACAGGTATGATTTTCATGCATTTGTATAAAGACTCCTGTCGGTTCATATTTACATGAAGATATATAGAGATTATCCTATATGAGGTTCAGGATATTGGGATTATCCCGAGGCCAATATAATATATTTGCCCGAGGGCCGCATGTTTATCCCATACCAATCTTGGTCATCTGGTTCACATTGTTCAATCGTGGAAATATTCTAGAATATTCATGTCCAGTTTTGTTTTCTTGGCCGTGGGCGGATTTTTTTGTTCTCTCAAATATCCCCACATTTATTTTCTCGAATTTTTTAAGTGAATGCTCCTTCCATTTTTAAACCATCAAACAGATCGCCGTTGTCGTTTACAGTCATTACGCGAACGTTACAAATTATGAACAAATATGCGAGCGGCGATTATGACGTAGCGGGAAGATATACTATATCTGCTCGCTCGGAGCGGGACGTAAAGCTATATCTGCCCGCTGATGAAAATATAAGTTTTTACAAACCGGCTTTATGTACCTGTAACACGTCCAAGTATGGGATAAATAGGTTTATCCTGTGACAAGTGAGGTTTCAGGTACATAACAGCGGGATATGAAATCGATATCTTGGAGGAGCGGGACATATATATATCTCCCTCTGTATATCTCCCGCACCAATATTCCCGGGAAAACGTTTTCACTTGGTGTAGAAACAGTCAAAATTCGTTAGAATATCTTGATATAGCGAAACTACCAAAATGGAAGCAGACAACGGTAGATATTTTCTTGACCAAAACGTCGAAGAATTTCTTGAAAGTAATGAAAATGAGAATACTCTCAAGAAAACCATACATTTATCAGTTGAGGGAATAATCAATGTCTCATAGATAAAAGTCACTTGTCATAGGATAAATTAGTTATGTGATGCTCAGTTTTGGATATGGGATATATATATTTATCCCATACTTGGACGTGTTACGGGGACATAAAGCCGGTTTGTAAAAATTTATATTTTCATCAGCGGGCAGATATAGCTTTACGTCCCGCTCCGAGCGGGCAGATATACATAATCGCTGTTCCCGTATTGGTTCTTTTTTGTAACGTTCGCATACTGTAAACGACAATGGAGAAAAACGCAGACAATCTTGACCTGTTTGATGCTTTAAAGAAGGGAAGGAGCAGTGTACCGGCATTAATAATCAAAGATTTGAATAGGAAAGAAACAGGAATACAAAACTGAACATGAATATTTTAAGAATATTCCACGGTTGGTTGCAAAGTTTCTGAACTTTGGCAAATTGAACAATGTGATTGGTATAGTCTGTTCAGGATATTTGGATTATCCCTTGGCCAATATAATATATCTACCCTCGGGACCCACGGCCCTCGGGCAGATATATTATATTGGCCTTGGGATAATCCCAATATCCTGAACCTCATATAGGATAAATAGAGATTATCCTATATGAGGTTCAGGATATTGGGATTATCCCGAGGCAAATATAATATATTTGCCCGAGGGCCGCAGGTCCCGAGGGAAAATATATTATATTGGCCAAGGGATAATCCCAATATCCTGAACCGACTATAGGATAATATGTTTATCCCATACCAATCTTGGTCATCTGGGTCTCATTGTTCAATCGTGGAAATATTTTAGAATATTCATGTTCAGTTTTGTTTTCTTGGCCATGGGCGGACTTTCCTGTTCTCTCAAATATTCCCACATTTTCTCGAATTTTTTGATTGATCAAGTGGATGTTCCTTCCCTTTTTAAACCATCAAACAGATCCCGATAGTCTGTGTTTTCTCCATTGTCGTTTACAGTCATTACGCGAACGTTACAAATTATGAACAAATATGCGAGCGGCGATTATGACGTAGCGGGCAGATATACTATATCTGCCCGCTCGGAGCGGGACGTAAAGCTATATCTGCCCGCTGATGAAAATATAAGATTTTACAAACCGGCTTTATGTACCTGTAACACGTCCAAGTATGGGATAATCTCTATGTATTTCATACCTACTGAGGTTCTAGGTACATAACGAGCGGGAATATATACTGTATCTAGCCAAGGCCTGGGGCGGGATGGATACACGCTGTGTCCATCCCGGTCCCGCTCCTGAAATTTTTTTTCACAATTTTTTCAAAAATCTTTTTTCAATTTTTTTTTCAATTTTTTCAAATTTTTTTTTCAAAAATTTTTTTGTCCAATTTTTCCCCAAAATTTTTTTACATTATTTTCAAACATTTTTTTTCACATTTTTTTCAATTTTTTTCAAAATATGAGTTATTAGTTTGAAAATCTCAGAAACTTAAAAAAAAACACTTTATAACACCAAGAAAATGCGTATCTTAAGTATATTTTTGAATTTTGGAACTTTATAAGGTATATGACGTACACGGTACCTAGAACATCAGTAGGTATGAAATACATCTGTTATGTAAGGTCGGTTTTGGATACAGGGTTTATCCCTCGGGAAATATGTGTATACACATATTTCCCTTGGGATAAAACCTGTATCCAAAACCTCCCAGTACATAACCCTTATATATACCCCATATCCAAAACCTCCCATAACATAACCCTCATTCATCTAATGGATTATTTTCCAATTTTATTTCAAAATTAGTTTTCCAAAATTGCGGTCAAATGTTTAAAAAATAGTATTTTTTTAATGAATATTTTTTTTATTTACATATCTATAGCATAATTGCATTTTGTATTTTCGGTTAGAGTTAAATGAAAATCAATCCAATTTCAAACACCTTAAAAGCTTGAAACATGTACAGTGTGGTTTGCATTTGTATCAAATGACAGGTGGTGACATTTTGCATGTAAATACCTTTTATTGACTTTAATTGTGGTCATTTGTTGTATTTCCAGATTTATAATACTGAGGCGTTGGTTCTCTCTCTGTGGGACTGTGTTTCTGTTGAGAAGTATTACTATGTTCATCACATCACTCTCTGTACCAGGAATTCATCTGCAGTGTGAGAGGGTAAGTTTGGGGGATGGGTTGAAGAAGTTTGGGCCTGGGGGGATGAATTAAGTCTTGCTTTTGACACCTCCCATACATCATACCTCTGAAGGTGAAGTTAACGGGGACGGGGATTTGAGGGCATTAATCCCAAATTAAGGGTTGAATTAAAAGGGGGTTAATTGCCATATTTATCATCATATATGTATCTGTGCTAAGGTGAAGGGGCAAGTATTGGGATAAGTAGTGGGATTGAGTAGTGGGAGAGAGGCAGGGTGTTCTTTGTAGCAGGAATTAATTTTTCTATAAAACCATTATCTTTCTTGAAAAAATGCATGATTTCCTCTAACCTTATCTTATTGTACAGGGTGATGTCTTAATTGTCATTGTACAGGGTGATCTCAGTATACAAGGTATATCATTGTACTTGTACAGGGTGATCCCATTGCACAGATGATGTCATTGTACAAGGTGATATCATTGTCCAGGGTTATCTAATTGTACAAGGTGAAATCATTGTACAGGGTTATCTCATTGTACAGGGTGATCTCATAGTATTGGTTGATTTCATTGTGCAGGGTAATAGCATTGTAAAAGGTGATCTAAAACTATTAATTTCACTCCAGCATCCAAGCAACATGTCTTATCCTTTAAAGGTAGTATTTAGTTGAATTAAGTTGCGCTTCTGGGATATGGTTGCAAGTTATTCTTTTTTGCTTCTTTTACACTCTTAAAGATAACATTGACAAATATACATTGGTGTGGTGTGGTGTGGTGTGATTTTAGAGTTTTGGAGATAACAGGAAGTTGTATCAAGTTATTTTTGCTCCTATACTTTATGAATATACCATTTGCATTCATTTGACTTCATTTCTTAAAAGTGAGCTTTAATCTTCATATGAACATATTTTCTTTATATTTGGTCTGATAATGTAACATATTGAGTGCGAGGAGCCCCAAAGAACCCTTAACAAAATGACTTGATGCAACTTCCTGTGTACTTAATAAATATAAAATAACAAGATGATCAGTTTCAATACTGAGTTGCAGTTCTGTTGAATGTTCTTCTACTTATGTTTCAGTTCTAATTAAATGTTCTTTCGCCTTTGTAACATGGATTATTTTGAAAGGATTTATTTTTCTTATGTCCATCATTCTTTGATTTTGGGTAATTTTTATGTCATCTCCACAAGTGGTGACATAATATTGTATAATCTCAAACTTTTGTGTGGTGGTGTTTCATTGGTTGGTGTTCAGTGGTGGGTGTTCAGTGTCTGTAACATATGGCAGGTGGTGACATGTTGCATGTTAATTGCCTAGTTTCATATTCTTTCTAATTCACCAAAATAACATATGCACCAAATTAACCCAAATTACATTATATTATTTAGGCTCGATGGCTTTTTCTTTAACACATTGACGATGGCTCTACGTGTTTTTAAAATAATTTTAATGATGTGACTTGCTGAAAAGATTAAAATGTGGTCAACTTTTTCATATAAAAAGTCTTCCATTTCAACTCTTAATACATTTTGTAAATGGCCAGCTTTTCAATGTATAATCTTATACTTTAAAGCTTTAAAGTATAAGCCAAAAAAATAGCATTCTGTTTCATTCTGCTATAAATAGATTTTCATTAATTTCTGCCTTGTATGCAGGACTAATATTAATTGATGAATTTAGTTTCTGAAAATAATTTCTGTTAAACCGCAACATATACCCACTAGGGTGTCTAGCGGCTTGTTTTTTATAGTGTATATTATATAAGAATTATGAAATAAATAAAAATTGAATTGAATCACATCACAATATTTGACTTAGTGGAAAACTTATCCTTTGATCCATTCCTCTGAATGGAAACAATTGTACTGATATATTTATATACATGTACATGTGTATTTTTTCAGAAACATGGGGATATATGGGGCCAACTTTCTAAGGCCATTGAGATCTGGAAAGGATTTGGAATGACCCTACAGGGTGTCAGGACTTGTGGTGACTACATGTTTAGTGGGCATACAGTCGTTCTCACAATGTTGAACTTCTTTATTACTGAATGTAAGTGATTTATTAATAAGGATTTGTCATCTTCGGTGTATGGAGTTTCAGAGAATATGAATTCTTTTATATTTTTAAAAAGGTTTTGTGGGATTCATTTCTATTAGGTTTATAGCACTCAGGAGGAGGGATAACCCCATGATTCAATTGATGACATACGATTTCCTCCTTCGCGCACCTCCTTTCCCGGAAATACGTATATTTATACTTCTCTCCATCTTGGTTTTCAAAGTTTTCAAATTGACCTAGTTTTAATCCAATCAACGATCGACTCGCTAAACCAATCAGCGATGATGTCATCTCAATACAGATTTACATTATAAGCGTATGTCATCTTTGAACCCTGGGGTTTCTCCCCCTCTTTAGCACTCCGAGTTCTTGTTGAATGCTGAATTGTTCAAAATAAGCACTAAATCTGCACTAGTAATCATCAGTTTCAGTTTATCATGGAGTAGTTCTCTCTGCATACAGTAATAAAGTTTTATGTTAATAAGTGTTAAAAAACGTAATGAAATGTTTGAGATTTACAAAAATATTTGATGTACTGTATTTATATATTTTCATCAAGTAAACCAGAAAACCAGTTTACATGATGAAGATATACGAATACATTGAAAATTTGTATATCTCAAACATTTTGTTTTATAGAATAATAAGATATGAATTATTAATGGATGTAAAAATGATGTAAATTATTCTAATTTTGTTTCAGATTCTCCGCGGAAGATGCATCTTCTTCATACAATGTCCTGGGTGCTCCATCTATTTGGCTGTTTCTTCATCCTCGCTGCACACGAACATTACTCAATTGACGTATTCGTTGCATTCTACATCTCATCTCGATTATTCTTATACTATCACTCATTGGCTAATAACAAGGCCTTGAGTAATTCCGATTATAAACGAGTTAGGATTTGGTTCCCGATGTTTTCATTTTTTGAATCTGAGTGCAGTGGCATCGTCCCAAATGAATATGAGTGGCCGCTACCTTGGCCGAGTAAAATTAAGTCGTATTTTACGGAGCATTTAACCAATGGGAAAAAGAGGTTATAGAGAATATTTGGTCACTAGAGGCGGGAAATCTGTTTTCTCTCCGTATTCTCTCTAACAGTCTAATGAGCGTATGGTTTCAATGAGTGTACATGCGACTTAGGTTCAACATGATCTCAAGAAAACACAAAGTGTAATGCATTGGTTTCGATTATTTACACATTAGATAACAATTGATGATTACATTTAATGTAGAGAAAGAAAAACAGGAGCTATAGAGTATGTAAACCTTAGTGATATCAAATAAAACGATTATCAATGATATTTTTTCTAAATATTTGTATGTGAGCTTATTATCTCTCAATATCTTACCCTTTTAACTTTCAATTTGGAAACCACACTGCATGCTCATTCGAGAGAATACGGTATTTGGTTTTTATATTGATTATGTGCACTCATTAGAGAGAATACAGTATTTAGATTTTATTGATTATGTAACATGCACTGCTTATATTCTGTGGATAAATTATATTGTGGTCATATTTGTAATGCAGCGTAAAAGTGCAAAACTATTACGGATCCCCAATTTATTACTAATCTAACATAAAATTACTTGCAGATTGCAGGTGTGAAATAGATTATATATTTATATCATGAAAACCTAGGTTATGAAAGTAATCAAGCCATGACTAAATTTATGTACATGTATGAAGAATATTGTCTACTTTATATATCTACAGACAATCTGACGTTTAGCTTGATATTTATAAATCCGTGTTTTACATTGTAAATTGTACACCATATAATATTTATATCTGTCTACAATGTAAGCTATGTGTATCAGGAGGGAATTTATATTCAGCCAGCAACAGATAATTTTTCAGAACCTTTTCATTAAAATCATCTGCTGTTTTGAAATATTTTTCTGTTTTAAACCATGTTTTTGCCAGTTGCTTTCAATTTCATTTGTTTTTCCTGTTTTTAAAAATTCAAAGGAAAATTTTGCCAGTTGCTTTCAATTTTATTGGTTTTTCCTGTTTTTAAACATTCAAATGAAAATTTTCAAAGACTGAGCCCAAAGTTGCGTCTACACTCGCAGCATCTATTTATTCCCACGAGGCAGTATGAAATATATTTTTGGGACTATGTTGTTCTAAATAAGAATATGAGAAAAATTGAACCAATGCCAAATTCAAATTAAGCCAGAAGCTTTTTGCAAGGGCTTTGCAAGATCAGCATTTTGACCTGTGTAAGCACCTACTTGGCTATTTCACGAAACTGCATACTTATGAAATTGATGTTGGTAATGTCAATTTCATAGATTCTAAACAACTTTCATCTTTTGTAAAATATAGAATACATATGATATTATATACTTGGTGGATTTACACTTGCGCGCTAAGACGTCTTAGCTAAAACGTTTTAGCGTTAAAGCGTTTTACAAATGTAATGTAAATCCAGATTTACTCATGAGCTCTCGGCTAAGAGCGCTTAGCTAAAACGTTTTAGAGCCCTAGTCATAGCCAAGACGTCTTAGCGTTAAAACGTTTTACGAAGCAAGTGTAAATCCATCGGTTTTAGCTAAGAGCTTTTAGCCCGGTTTTTGCGTTGCGCCGAACGAAACATTTGAAACTTTCCATTTACTTATGTCGCATGGTCCTTTATTTTGCCTTATCCCTTGTTCCCAATACCATCCCAAAATTATTGAGAAGAACTTATTTGCCTGGCGATTTATCATAATCCTAATTTATGCCTACAATCTTCTTGTTCTCTTTCATGCTTTTAACAATGCTGTCTTTAGGACATATTTTTCTGAAACGGATGCATTCTTTAGTACAAAGTCGAGTACGAAGTATGGAAGCGGGTAAGGAATAGCTATATTGACTGAACCGTCCTTCAACCAGTACTGAACTGCCTTTTTCATTTTACATGTATACCTACATATCTCTAAGACGTTTTAGGAAAACAGGTGTAAACTCAATCTTATTTCCTAAGACGTCTTGAAAATGGTAATGTAAACTCAACTTAATTTTCCTAAAACGTTTTAGCCAAAACGTCTTGAAATGCTGCGCGTAGTGTAAATTGGGCTACTGTGTTCTGCTTGGCTGGATTAATATTATATATCATGCAGGTCAACACAGTATCAGAGTATCAGTCATATATCAAGGACATATATTACACATCAAATTGAACTTATATGGCAGTATTAAAGGCCACACCATTTGTTACTATAGTCATGCACCATTGGACATTGTCCAGGCTTAAAATGGCTCTGTGTTGGTTTGGTTTCAAATGTTGCCTTATTTTGTGATTTCAGTGTTTGTATAGTAATGAGAGGGGGGGGGGGGGTCATACTCCTTCTACAGCAAACAACATTAATAACCCGTAAAATAATGTGAAAATAAAGATTTAATGAAAAAAATGGAGGTGTATCACTAACATTTCATGATTGTATAAAATACATATTATCTCATTGATCTACTGTATGCAAAATGACACCATTACTCATATATGTATTGTATTGTATTTTTATGGGACAATCTCAATTAACGTATATAATAGTTGCAACTTTTATTGTTTGCCTGCTATACATGTATATACCACTTCATAGGTCACCAGACCTGCCAGTTCACGCCATTTTCTAGGAATGTTTCGTTTTTAACCTTTTTAACTGAAATCTGAAAGCCAATTTACAACCTGCATGTCAAGAGTGAAGGTATTTTCAGTAAAACCTGCCCTCAAAAATGCAGCTTGCAAGATTAAGATAGGCTAAAGTTGTCTTTTGGATTGAATTCATATTTTAAACCTAAGTGCAATTGACAGAAAGAAAATCAATCTCATAGACCTACATGATATTATATTAATAAAGGTAGAACAGAGATTTTATTTTGATTGATGTGCTGAACATGCATTTAGCCACATTATCATTCTACTCTGGCTACCTTAATTAATACAGTAAAACGTGTCTAATCTAAACTCCTGGCCCAACCAAAAGTGTTTGGATTGGCAGTTCACATTTGAGGATTTGCAACACAGAAGTCTGGCAAAGGTGAATAAGACATTAACATGCAAAATCTCACCACCTGCCATTTGTTACAGATGCCAGCCAATGAACACTGTCTACTTAAAATAAAGACTATAACAATATGTAACCACTTCTGGTGATGGCATAATAAAAATGTGTAACTGAAAAGTGCTCACATTTAGAGGTGTTCCGATTGGTTTTACTGTAATTGAAAAGTGTAGACTTCTGAAGTTTATTTCCTCTTACACTAGGCCTAATGATGTTCTAATGGGGCAAGTCATGTATTTTTACATGCCGATAATTTCAGAATTTGTGATGTGTAAGTTGAACATATTTTGCAGTATGTAAACAGAACTTATTGGTTCGTAAATTGGGAATAGAGTACTAGATATACTGTAGAATATCTAGATGTTAGTTTTAGAATTGAATGATTATGAAATTGTATTTTTAGTGAATCTGAATGTATTTGATATATAATAATGCTAAATGGAGTAAAAAAACAAATATAAATATGTTTTATATCAAATAATAATATATGTTTATTTCTTTGTATTGTCATTAACCAAAGTATATTTGATGTGCTAAATGTGCTAAATTCACAATTTTTAGGATATGTTTGGCAGTTTTGTAACTTGATGAATTTAAGAGGTGACATTTTCTATTAAGATCCTGACCTCATTTTGGTGACATAAACACAGTCTGATAATCCTCACAGCTCTGAACATATTCTGTTACCATGGAGTCTGTGATGCTAAATTAAGAGGTTGCCATAGTAATATATAAAAACATTAACAAGAGCCCTTTTTACATTATCTAGAAATTGTTCTCTTCAAAAAGATATTTAGAAAATTGTCCATTACAATGTTTCACCTTAGTGAAGATAAAATTTTACAAATTTAAAACAAAGTTCAACACAAAATAAATAGAATTGGAAACTAATCAAAAGTGGATGCTAAACTAATCCAATTTGCAATGACAGAAATACATCTTTAGTTAGACCCTGATCACTAACTGCACTGAGCCACAATCAAAGTATTGCATCAACTCAACTCTACACAGCCCATCCATGCAGTCATAGTAATGAAAAGCACAGGCACTGGAAGCAATCGTAGAGTTGTCCTGAAAAAAGTCCAATCCCCCTCTCTGTGCACCCAGGAACTGTATATTTTCTCTTTGGACGACATAGAGTGGGGGTGCTTTTATTTTTGGTCAATTCTATTATCTGTTCCTGTGCCTGTTCAAAAAACACTACTCGTGAAATTACAAATTATTCTTTAAAATCCAGTAGCAAAGAACTACCTTGGCAAGGTGAGTTTAGAGGTCATCTGTAATTAAATTACTCCCTATTGTCGTGTCTGACTAAATTACATGACTTGTATAAAAAAGACCTACTACTGCCCTAATTACTTTATAGGGTAGTCTTACATCAGCTCCTTGTGCTGCTCATTATCCCAACGAACGAAGTTCGGTAGGGATATAGTGAAGCCCTCCGTCCGTCTGTCCGTCCGTCAGTCCGTCCGTCAGTCCGTCAGTCAGTCAGTCAGTCAGTCAGTCTGTCCATCTGTCCGGAAGATAACTCAAATATTAGTAGACGGATTTTTTTCATATTTTGTGGAAAGATGTATATTGGTGAATAGTTTTACGCAAAAAAAAATTTTTTCAAGATGGCCGCCGCTTTAAAAATGACGGGACTTTTTCGCAAAAATCATAAATTTTTCATTCTGAACCAAAGTAATTAATATTATTGTTTGAAATTTTGGTAGTATATTCACAACATTTATCTATTTCACATATGAAAATGAAAGGCAATTAAGAGTAGATTGCAAATATTGTATCTTTTTTTCTGATTCGAGCCTCGTAAAATTCAAAATGGCCGTCTAATGTACGATTTTGCAATAATTTTTCGATCCCTTCAAAGTATAGCTATATTATACTCAAATTGAAGGAATTTTGGAGTAGATCACAATTATGGTATTATTTTCAAAATGGCTGCTTTGCAGTGCTTTGCAGGAATTCGCAATTCTAAAATCTAATTTTTTCAAGTTTAACCAAAGTAATGAGTATAATTGATTGGAATTCGCTAATTGATATTTTGTTCGTTGGGATTTGCTACTCCGCGGAGTTGCCGTTATCTAGTTTTCTAAGTTGAGACCTTATACAAGATTAAACTGAAGGAAGAAATCTACCAAAAATTTGCCTTCTTAACTGACTGCACTGAATTTTAATTACATTTGACATGTATACGCTGTACAATTAGCATATTCTAAAGTAGTGATAAAACAATTAATAGCCTAATAATATTCTGAATTTTATGTATCCGGTTTATTAATAAGTTGTTCTATGATTGTCCTAATCACTTCAAGAGTCTGAGATTGTGGAAATAAATCCACAAAACTTTTGCCTTCTTCCAAACTTTGAGTCAGTTGAGGATCGAATGGTATACAGCCTGGAAATAGACATGTTGAATATTAGATGTGTAAGTATTCTCTAATGGAGGGATCTATAAATTAATATTAGTAATCATGCCATCTCCATCAGATGGGGGAGCTACGAGGGTGCTCAAAAATCTAACTGGGGAACTCGATTTTATTTTATGAGTCATTTAAACGATTGATGAAGGAATGAGAATTTGAGTGTTTTTATTTATTTCAGATTATATAGGATATTCAGTCATTAAAATCTCCTTTGTTTTTAAACTGACAAAGCTACTACATTTTATACAAACATTTTGTTTACATGCAATCGTACACTATTTGTAAAACTTACCTAGGAATGGTACTGATGCATGCTGGGCCAAACCCTCCCCTCCGCCTTTAGAGAATATGTTATTGCACTCCTGAAATTTAAGAAAGGTGAATAAATTTCATCCTATTCATGAACATATTCCACTGGCAGATCCAGAAGCTAAGAAAGGGGGGGGGGGGGCAAATTTTGAGTCAGGAACTTTTTTTAAAGGCACTTTGTAACATACAGCAGACAAAATGGTTCAAAAGTTGTTTTTTAGGCTTTAGAGGTTTCATGGTTTAAAACCTTCTCTGATGATTCTATTTTCAAACTATGTATGCAGGTCCATTCAAAGTCATCTATTGAACCTTGAAAAATCATCTTTAGACTTTAGGATCGAAAGGTGTTCACAGCAACTTTCAGCTCATCTTTATTATGATAGACCGGAAGTGAATTTACGAGTTGAGTAAATGGTGATAATGTTGTTTTTATGAAGCGGGGAAGTCAAAACATTACTAATAGAAATCATAGTAAGCGTTAGAAGATTATTAAGAAGCATTTAAAATTGAATCCACGGCAAAATTTGAAATAATTCCACACAGTCCTCAGAAATATTTTTATGAATTTTTTCTATATCTGGTGAAATATGGCATGTATACTTGTGTTGATTGTTAAAATACAAAATAGGTAAGGTAAAGAATATGTAAAAGTCGTTTGATCTTGTCCCAGAAGCAATATTTTGTTATGTTTAGTAAAGTGTTGGAAGTCAAAAGCATGCCCAATGTTTTACTGACAATTCTTATTTAAATACTATCTGAAAAAAGAATTGAGATATCTGACCAAATATCATCTTTACAAACTCAGTCTTCAAAGCTCGGAAGATATGTCAACTACTATACTATAGGATAAAATCTGTACTCACTGAGCAATGTGGACAGACATATCCACTCATGTTTTCTATGATTCCAAGAATTTTGAGTCCCGTCTTTTTACAAAATGTAAGTTCCCGCCTAACATCACCTACTGCCACCGCCTAAAACATGATTTCAATGATATTTTTTAGCTTTAAGTAGATAATGTGTCTTATATTCAAAAGGGATACATGGGAAAATGCCTCATTTGCAATGTAATGGAGGAGTTGAAGCTAAAATTATCTATACAAAATGAAAAGTATTCTTTATTGAACTTTATACTAATATTTAGAACAGTTAATAGTATTTTTATAATTTTAAAATCTAAACTGCTGGTGAATATCATATACAAAATCATGGAAAATGGATCAATGGGAAAACGCCTCCTCCATGATTACCTGCGGGGTTGTTACTAAAATAGCGCCATCTGGCTTGTATTCTTTAAGTGCCTCCATGACTGTTATGTGTTCATCTGACGTCCCAGGTGGCGTGTCAATCACCAGGTAGTCTACATCCTGCCAGAATACGTCATTAATAAACTGTTTAATCATCGCTGAAAAAACAAATTTTCACAAAATAGAAATACATGTACTTTTAGTATGCAGCATTTGAAACATTATATCTGCATTGACATTATATTGTTCATGTATTGAATAATGAAAATGTTTTGAATTTAACTACATGTTAAATCAATAAAAATGATGGAAAAGTGTAAAATCGTTTGATTTTTAAATCTGACAATTCTAATGGCCATGGAAGTTTCTGCATCTGAAATATTTAAAAAGTTCTCTTTTTGATCAAAATTCAGATTGAAAGGGAAAATTTAGCATGATTTTGAAAAGATTAGTTTCAACATTTTGCATAGCCTTGCCCAAGTCGGTCTCTTTTACTTTTCTTGATTTCTATTATGACCGCCTTGTACCAATGAGAAAGCCACGTGCGACTCAATGTGTATGTCGGTAAATTTGACCAATCAACGATGGGCCTGCTGCCTGCAAATCTTGCACAATTCATCATGAAAATACAAATATTTTATCAGATAAATACCAATCAGAGTTTAGTGGATGCCAGAGCATCAATCAGATACCCGGAGGTGAGAAGATTTCAACAAGAAACGTTGAAAAGATCTCTGAAATTGCCAAACATATTAGCTAGATCTAGGCCGAGATTCAGATCAATCACTGAATAAGATCGACGACTACATGGACTGGGTCTTCTTCATTTTCATCATGAATTCAGTTTAACATCAAAATTGGATTGCATAATTTAATTTATATTAATGAATTGACTGCTTACATTCCAATGTACATTTAATTACATATAATAATATTCTGAAGAAATACTCGATCAGATCATTGAATTTCAAGTCGTAGATGGGTAGTTTGCTTTGTTTATGCGGGTAAACCTGAAAACGTTTTGATTGGTCAATCAGCCTGAAGTCACACGTTGTGTCCACGTGATCTGTCAATCAATACGGTTTCACAATACCCCTGGCAGCATAGGAATTATGGAAATCTTGAAACCGCTGAATAACTTATCATAATATCATCGATGATGCATTAGATTGTACAAGGCGGTAATATATTTCAAGATCAGATAAGTAAAATTAAAAAAAAAACTGACTTGGGCAAGGCTACACTCTTTCCCGTCTACTTCCTAATAGGTTATGACAAATGATAATAAAAGAGTATCAATGTGTTACAGATGTCAACCCCAAATGCCAACAAGAGTTAACATTTAATTCTGCATTTCAAGCGCCATTCTACTCAAAGAAAAACCTTGAAGAATCCCTCGAACAGCACAATCTGTGGACCCCACTCAATGGACAAGAAAAAATTGAATCTCTAATTTTTCAAAATTCCCTTTCACTTGGAAAGGATTCTGAATTAAAAGAAAGCCAGGTTTGTTGAATTTGTTTCTAGTATAACTTAATTCATTTCTTCCTGATTTACTGTTGGCATTTAAGCTTACTGGCACTTACTCACTCGCCTTCCCTCATTTTTGTTTTATGTATAACTTGAAATGCTAGCCTATAATGCAAAGCGCGCTAGGCAGCGACTACTCTAACTACTGTGGTGCGAAGGTAATATATCACTACTTATTGGTGGTGATGTAAAAATGTGCTGTACCATTTTTCTTAGGACCCCTCCATACAACAGCATCATCTCTGTTGTTGAGAAGGAAACCAATAGACATGACACCCAATCTCTGCTCTTTGTCCACATACACAGGAACCCATCTGAAAACATAAAACAATTTAAAATCTATATTTACAGATGATCAGAAATGTTGAACATCGCATGTACATACACTTGGTTTCATATGTAACTTTGATTTTAGCGGGTCATAAAGTTACAGCTACGTGTTTATATTAAAAACTGAATCCATATGATGATGCAGCTTTAAAACTGATACCACTGTTTTAACTTTGGCAGTCTATTGTTGGATTTACACTAGAGCCCTAAGACCTTGGCCAAAACGTTATAGTGGTTTAACATTTTACAAATGTAATGTAAATCCAGATTTTCTCAAGAGCTCTCGGCTAAGAGCGCTTAGCTAAAAGGTTTTAGGACCCTAGTCATAGCCAAGACGTCTTAGCGTTAAAATGTTTTACAAGCGAGTGTAAATCCATCGGTTTTAGCTAAGAGGTCTTAGCCTGGTTTGATGCATTGAGCTGAACGAAAAATTTGAAATTTCCTGATTACATGTGTCGCATGGTCCTTTCTCTTGTCTCATCCCTTGTTCCCAATATCATCCAAAAATATCATGAAGAACTAATACAGCTAGCGTTCTATCATAATCCTAATATATGCACAAAATCTTCCTGCTCTCTTTCATGCTTTTAACAATGTTCTCTTTATGACATATTTTTTGAAGAACCTATGCATTCTTTAGCACAAAGTATAGAAGCGGGAAAGGAATAGCTCTGTTGACTGAACCGTCCTTCAACCAGTGTTTAACTGCTTTTTTTATTTTACAATATATGCCTACATATCTCTAAGACGTTTTAGAAAAACAGGTGTAAACTCAATAATATTTCGTAAGACGTCTTGAAAATGGTGGTGTAAACTCAACATCATTTTTCTAAAATGTTTTAGAAAGAAAGCTAAGACGTCTTGAAATGTCGCATGTAGTGTAAATAGGGCTTATGTATATTTGAATGTATCTAATTAACAATACAGCTTCAGTTATTTATCTCTTGGTTATTCACACACAAAGAATAATGATCATTTCATGTTGCGTTGTAATATTGATGGATCAATGTCAGGGTCAGACTTACCCTTCTGGGCATTGGTGAACTTCATGGCTTTCCAAATTGAGCATTTTTGGTATACTTGGTCCACATAGATCAATATCTAGCAATCCAACCTTCTTCCCAGCCTGCCTCAGTGCTAATGCTACCTGGGTAGAAACAGTGCTCTTCCCAACACCTCCTTTACCAGAGAGGACAAGGAGGACATGTTTCACGGAGGCTAACCCACTTGCATGTGTTTGCTCTAGAAAATGGATGTAGAGGGTCTGAATACAGACTTACATGTGTTAAGGTACAGCTGGAAAGTAACATTTTGGTAAAAAATTGCTATACCTGCACATGTTATTTTCTGGTACAAAATAAAGTATGAAGGCATGTGTCAATTTCCTTGCTTTTTTCAGGAAAGTATCATGACATTGTCTTCTTTTAGAATATCTGGTAGGGGTTCAATGGAAACTCCAGGAAATTCTGATATTTCACACTTTCTATTTTTCCAAATTTTCTTTCAAAGTTTCCAGACAACATAGGAGCTACCATTGACCTGTTTCTAGATATTCTATAAGTAAACAGTGTAATGATATTTTCCTGAAAAAAGCAAGGAAATACACACACAACTTCATACTTAATTTTGTACCAGAAAATAACATGTGCAGGTATAGCAATTTTTTACCAAAATGTTACTTTCCAGCTGAACCTTAAGTGACTTAATTTAAGTGACCTTCTTAATGACAACAGCTTTTCTTTGTTAATGACAATAAAAAAAATGGAATCTGGCAATGAAACAGATAACGACTAACCATGAATCAAGAAGAAAATGTAATTGGACATGATTCTACTGTGACGAAAGGTAGGAGGTGTAGATAAGTCATCGGCCAAATTTATTGGATATGGGGGAAAAACTAAGAATATGGCCGAATGAGAAAATAAATGGATTTTTCGACCGTCGGAGAGCAACTGAAAAATATTTTATTGACTCTATAGATCTGTGACAAAAGGTAAGAGGTGTAGATAAGTCATCAGCCAAATTTATTTTAAATGGGGGGAAAAACTAAGAATATGGCCGAATGAGAAAATAAATGGATTTTTCGACCGTCGGAGAGCAACTGAAAAATATTTTATCGACTCAGCTCTGTGACAAAAGGTAGGAGGTGTAGATAAGTCATCAGCCAAATTTATTTTATATGGGGGGAAAAACTAAGAACATGGCCGAATGAGAAAATAAATGGATTTTTCGACCGTCGGAGAGCCTCATTTGGGACATATTTTAGTAAATTTGAAACTCAATTATCACCCACGAATTTGTAATTACATATATTTCCGAAGCAAGCTATGGAGATATTTCAATAATCTTTATATCATAACGAGGTAATAGTATTTCTACATATATCAGCTACACAATTAATCTGAAATATGTGGTCAATCTCTAGAATATTCGGAAAATAAGAGAAAATATCTTACCGACGGGCGCTGCCATTTTGAATCTCGTTTATCTCGCGAGACTTTGCAGACCAACGAGACAACAATATTGGCAGAAATCATTTTGTTGAAGTTTCCGAATTGTTTCAAATATCTGACGTTTCTGACTACTATATGAGATGGATGACCTATTGAGCAACCCCCCAATACTTGTTGCAATTATAATTGCACTAACTTTGGGGATTGGAGTTCTATTTTTGAAATATACAATGCTCAAGCAAAAGATGCTTTTGGAAACAGGAGATTCTTCAAAAGAAAAAGGGAAAAATGCCCCAACAACCAAGAATCAAACAGAAAGATCTGCAGTTCAAAAGAAATCAACCACTGAACCAAATACCGAAGGAAGGGATTCAGGCGAGTGTAAACAGAGTAGTCCCGACCCTGACAGTGAAGACACAGGTGAGTTATCCGGTACCAAGACTACGGTCCTACATGTATGTTACTCACTTTGTGAGCCATGTTAGATTTTGAAACTTATGGCTCTCCAATGGAGAAATGGACAGCTGAATAAAAGTGACCTTTGAAACACGAATTAAATCTCAGAGATTGTCCGAACCTACAGTGTAACTAGTTCTCAAAATTAATTTTGTTCATTGCTTTATATCTCGCTCCTAGCGAACTGCCATATTGGAAATGGGCCGAAAAATCATTCACTCTATGAACAATTTACAAGTCTTGATCGAAAAAGAAGTATTTCAGCGCTCCAATACTTGCACGGATTAATGATACTGGATGTAAGACACAGTTATAGAGACCAAAAGTAAGCCGCTGAAATCTGTATTCATATTTTAAAGGTCACTATTATTGAGCTGCCCAAGGGTGCCGTGGGAAAGCTGTTACATCAAAATCCACATAGCTTTCGCAGGAAGTAAGTCCTATGGTATGGAGAGCTCTCATAGAGTCGTACATTATCTTTTAAAAGTCAAAAAATGTTGGCTCTAGTCATGTGCATAATTCTTACATCAGTCAATTCAAAAGCAAACTTGCTATAGCATATGCCAAAATAGTTGTCAATAATACTCATAGACAATGGTGAATTGAAATTCCATAATCTCAAACAATGTTTAGAATGATGTCCCATGAAATGTATTCTCCTTGTACATGTATGCAGCTTCATACCAGCGGAGTATGCATGATACATTTCTCACAAATTTGATTTCACATTCAATATCCCAGATGCGAGTAGAAATAATCTTGATTTACGTCATTAAAAACTCACAATTCAGTCAAACTGATGTCATATTTGAAATGTGGTTTGAAAAGAGTTTATCAACTTTGAAAATTTGATTTTCTTTGGAAATGTGACTTCTAGGTCAGGGAGATTCCCCATAGACCCCATGTTGTAAAACCACAAAAAGTGAAATATGTTTTCTTGTGTTGGGCAGATAATATTTTCTTTTACTGGACATATTTTAATTTGTATAACTATCAGATACATAAGGGTAATATGAAAAGTGAACCACTAAAACTGATGAATATTCAAGTTTAAGGGAATTTTGTAATACCCTGCCATGTTAATCCCCCCGAATCAACCACCTGGTGGCGAAACTGGTAACTTCCTACTCGCATCTGAGTGATTGGCTGAAGTAGAGGCATTTTCTGTCAGTGATTTTTATGATAAGTGCTCACTGCTCAGGAGTGAATAAATCACATGCACGAAATATCAAATAATCTGGTGGGTTTAAACTTACAATCATGCATGCACATTTGTGCCATGTTTTTTTCTAGTCCTTTTCTGTTCCATGAGAATTTATATTTTACACAGCCGCAGATTCCATGGAACAAAAAAAGTTCCGGAAAGCAAATGAAAAACAAACTCTTATTTATTAAGCTCAGCACTTGCATTAGGTTAGAAAATTTGTGAGTCGGACGCAATTTTTTTTAAAAAGTGTGTCCCCTATTTTTCAGTTTTGGAGTATGGACTGAATAAATGCATGTTCGTTCATTCGACAATGAATACATTTTATTTCATGAATAACCTAATATTTGTTTCTGAATAGGAAAAACTGTGGCGTGTCATGGTTTCAAATCTAAAAATAAACAAATTTGAAAAAATTCGAGAGAATCATGATTATTTGTAAATATTCAACATGTTGAGCCTTATTTACGATTCAAATAAAGGTGAGAGATCATAATTATTTGTTTTTGTTAGGTATCGTTGTAAACACATTGTAGCCCTGGCACTATATTCATTCTCCATAGGTCACAAAAGTTTTGGCTGTCTCAAATTGCAGGTGTCATTTTTAAGTCATCACCAGAAGTGGTGACATATTCTAATAGTCTCAACTTTTTTGATCAATGTTTGGCGGTTGCTGTTTGGTGGTTGGCAGTCTTTGTCTGTAACAATGTAACTAATGGGAGGGGTAACATTTTGTATGTTAATATCCTAAGCTTGCTTAATTGGTCGATCCAAGGTGCAGTGAACTATTATTATTAACATTTACTTTTTTTCAAAATTTCTTCCGAAGGTATTTCTTGTAATATTTCCTGATTTTCAAAAGTTTTTGACAGAATAACAATTGAGAAACACAAAAGATCAATGGGTCTTATAATTTAACAGAGAACTGAACATAAATGGTATACATGTTTATAATATAGCCAAATAGTTCCTCAGTGTTTCCCAATGACGTCATTTCTAAAGCTGCAGAGAGAAGTCCGACCACTATATGTTAGATCTTTTGGAATATCCATATATCGTATGAAAAAGTAAGTTAAACCTCTTTGAGATAGTCGTTCCTTTAATTATTTTTGCACAGAGTTCACAAAAACAAGAGAAAGCTGAGAGAAGTTTGACTGCAATGTTGGATTCAGGATCTTTTGGAATAACTATCGAATGAATGACAGTCTGCAATTTGAGATAGCTGTTCCTTTAATTATTTTTGCACAAAGTTAACAAAAACAAGAAGAGTTGGAAAGTTCTCTATACAGTCTAATAAATAGATGCTTCCTTTAATTATCTCATGAGACAAGACAGCATTCATTAATAATCTTGTGAATTTCAACTTAATGGCTTGCTACGATTACAAGACATTTAGCCTTGAACACATTCTGTCTCTTATCCATGCCAATATATCCAAAGCACCTTTATCTGCAGTTGTTCACATTTTATCATTGTTGTTGAAAATCTGAAATTTACAGACCCAGTCAGGGGTGTAGCCAGCAATTGTGAGAGGCGGTACGAATTTTTGGATTTAGGGGGTATGGCAGTTTAATCTCTGAATTTTTTTAAAAATTTATATTGTATGGTATATTCTAAGCATTTCAATTTAAACTATAATTCCTTAATGCTTTTCTTTTGTTAACATCATTTCTTGTGATGCCTATTTTCTAAAAATCCCTATACTGCATGCTATATTATTTGAGGATATTTATGTGTTCATTTCACTATATGTGGCTAATGTGGTCATCATATTTATCATTTTGGAGAATGTTCACATTGGTGGCAAATAGACCACATTGAATCTAAAATAACTTTAACATATTATAGATCTTTTGGGAGATATTATAATTGAGATGGTAAAGATTATAGTAAAACCTGTCTTAGTGGACACCTGTCTCTAGTGAACACCTGTCTCTAGTGAACACATGTCTCTAGTGGACACCACTCTCTGGTGAACAACACTCTCTAGTGAACACCTGTCTCTAGTGGACACCTGTCTCTAGTGAACACCTGTCTCTAGTGAACACCACTCTCTAGTGATCACCTGTCTCTTCTGAACACATGTCTCTGGTGAACACCTGTATATACTGAACACCTGTCTTAGTGAACATCACTCTCTAATGAACACCTGTCTCTAGTGAACACCTGTCTCTAGCGAACACCTGTCTCTAGTGGACACCTGTCTCTAGTACACCTCTAGACATCCCTCCTCCGCACATAATCTTTTAATTTCTATATAAATTACCCTCTCTGTTGTGAACACCTACCAGCACTGAATGTTTTTTCTTGGCAAAAAATGTTCAATATAGCACACAGGTACTGTATATTGATAAGTCAGTTGTATGTTGCTTGCAATTTTGTCACCCCAGTAGCTCTGCATCTGCCTCTAACCAAAGCACTCACCAAATCACTTGATGGGCAAATAACTCTAAATACTAAATGCATTTTCTACAAAAAAAAATACAAAATGGATTTTATAATTAAACCTGCACATAGGCTTTATCAGGTAATTCAAGTATGATGTTTGTGAGCATTTAGGAATAAAGTTCATGATAGTGTGACATCACATATTGCAGATTATATATTTTGCTATATTGTGAATTCAGTAGATCATTACTCTTTCCTCATCATTACTATATGGCATGGAACTCAAAATAACTAAAAGGGTATTGATATCACAGGAAAAGTTGATTCCTACTTATTGATTTTTGCACTAATTAATTGGATTTTTCAACCATTACCAATTACCAATTGCAATATTCCTTCAGGTATCATTGCATACCCTTGCAAAATATCATTTTCACACTTCCCTTGCATAAATAAAAAGTCACATGGAATCCCATTTAATGAATCAAATGAATCTGATTATTCTGATAAAACAATCCATAACATCAATAATTTGACATCATTCAGTTTAATATGTTGACATTCTATAATGTTCAACAATTGTATAATAAGACAGCAATAGACCGAGTACTCGTAAGGAATAATTCTTTGATTATTATTGTCGGAATATGATTTTTCCACCTGTAGACAGCATGTGAATTATTAAGTTATATATCACTGCTATATACAGGTGTTAATATACATCTTTATTCTCTTGGCTCCATTTCATAGTCTTGCTTCAAGTCCTTGTGTCCCCCCCCTAACTACAAGTGTGTTGTCTGTTGTTTATATATCACTGCTATATACAGGTGTTAATATACATCTTTATTCTCTTGGCTCCATTTCATAGTCTAGCTACAAGCCCTTGTGTCCCCCCCTAACTACAAGTGTGTTGTCTGTTGTTTATATATCACTGCTATATACAGGTGTTAATATACATCTTTATTCTATTGGCTCCATTTCATAGTCTAGCTACAAGCCCTTGTGTCCCCCCCTAACTACAAGTGTGTTGTCTGTTGTTTATATATCACTGCTATATACAGGTGTTAATATACATCTTTATTCTCTTGGCTCCATTTCATAGTCTTGCTTCAAGTCCTTGTGTCCCCCCCCTAACTACAAGTGTGTTGTCTGTTGTTTATATATCACTGCTATATACAGGTGTTAATATACATCTTTATTCTCTTGGCTCCATTTCATAGTCTAGCTACAAGCCCTTGTGTCCCCCCCTAACTACAAGTGTGTTGTCTGTTGTTTATATATCACTGCTATATACAGGTGTTAATATACATCTTTATTCTATTGGCTCCATTTCATAGTCTAGCTAAAAGCCCTTGTGTCCCCCTCTAACTACAAGTGTGTTGTTTTGGTGAAGAAGTCCACAGCCTTGATGCAAGACTCTACACATCATTTCAGTCTACATCTCCCTAACCCCTGCCCCAAGCTCAATCAGATATACAGGGTGGTCAAAAAAATGGAAACCCTTCATTTTCCTAATATCTTTGTCATTTTAAAGAATTACTCCCTGATATTTCACACATATGTACATCATTCAATTTCCTACAAAATTACAAAATTTCATGACCATCAGACTGATAGTCACAATTTTACAGCACTTTGAATAACATGCTTCAAGTTTGGCCATCATCGCGCCTGAATGATACGGATGATCTCACTTTTGAGGTCTGTGATTGTCCTGAGGTCATTCTCATACACTTTTTCCTTGCCATATCCCTACAGGTAGGGACATTTTGGACGGCGAGTGCAGGTGGCCCGGCAGCGCAATAGTGGCCACTAGGGCATGTTCTGTAAAGTGCTGTAACATTGTGACTATCAATCTGATGGTCATGAAATATAATAGGCTGGTAGGAAATTGAATGATGTACACATGTGCAAAATATCAGGGAGTTATTTCTTAAAATGACAAATATATGAGGAAAGTGGTGAAAGGGTTTCCATTTTTTTTTACCATCCTGTATATTAAATGTAATGAATATATTACAAGACTAGTATTTCTAGGTACTTGAATTTCCATCAAATTAAAAATTAATGGGAATTCAAGCACAATGTCTTTGAAATGAGCCATTAATCAAGTTTTAAACCAATTGAACTTGAAAATGCACAATAAGTTAAATGTCAAAACACTGATAGGGGTTTCAATTTCTAATGTCAAAATCTAACTTACACGTAGGAACAATAAATTCTGACAATCCCCTCTACCCTGAGGATGACATAGTAGTAAGTACCCTAAGAAATTGTAAGAATAGTGCATAAAAACAACTTGTATTTTACTTTATGTATTTCCAGAGGGAATGCCACCATTAGAGAATGTTGATGATATTATCATGACAAAAGAAGCAAAGAAACATCTAGCCCATGGCCTACAGGAAGAATTAGCCAAAATGGGAGGATGTCCATTTAGTGGAATAGGTGCCAGTGGGGAGGAAGGTGACACCCCAGTAACAGCCCCAGCAGGAGCTGATCCATTTGAATTTGTCGAACATATCCAAAGTGAGGTCAAAAAGGTGAATCATAAAGCCCAGGAAAAAGCAATTGAAAAGGAACTTCCCGATTTCGATCCAGCGAAGGAACGAGAGGTTGCGAAATCTCAAATGGAGGCTATATTTACACTGATGAAGGAACAAGAAGATCAATTTGGTTTAAAATCCATGGATGAAATGCAGGATCAGTTGAAACTTTACATGGATAAGTGACCAATCAGATTGCAGCTTACATTCTGAAGTTGGAGACCAATCACATATCAGTTTTAAAACAGAACTGATAAAATGTGTATCCTTGGTTCCATGACCACATGATTTGATAAAAGTATTAAAAAACTGGAGAAGAGAAATTGATCTCATTTGTTATGATGGGGAGATTGTAATTTCTTAAATGCAATATTGTAGTTTCTTAAATGCAATATTGTAGTTTCTTGAATGCAATATTGTAGTTTCTTGAATGCAATATTGTAGTTTCTTGAATGCAATATTGTAGTTTCTTAAATGCAATATTGTAGTTTCTTAAATGCAATATTGTAGTTTCTTAAATGCAATATTGTAGTTTCTTAAATGCAATATTGTAGTTTCTTGAATGCAATATTGTAGTTTCTTGAATGCAATATTGTAGTTTCTTGAATGCAATATTGTAGTTTCTTAAATGCAATATTGTAGTTTCTTGAATGCAATATTGTAGTTTCTTAAATGCAATATTGTAGTTTCTTAAATGCAATATTGTAGTTTCTTAAATGTAATATTGTAGTTTCTTGAATGCAATATTGTAGTTTCTTAAATGCAATATTGTAGTTTCTTGAATGCAATATTGTAGTTTCTTAAATGCAATATTGTAGTTTCTTGAATGCAATATTGTAGTTCATGGAATGCAAGTGTGTAGTTTATGAAACAAAAGAAGAATAGTTATATACCTCAAAGAAGGCATATAACATTGTAAACATGTCTCGCGTTTTACCCCATTTGTAACATATGCTTGGATTATCTAGTCATTCCATATCATGGGTAACGCTAAAATCAGCTATACATCTGATTGGTAGTTTCTTAAATGCAATATTGTAGTTTCTTGACTGCAATATTGTAGTTTCTTAAATGCAATATTGTAGTTTCTTGAATGCAATATTGTAGTTTCTTAAATGCAATATTGTAGTTTCTTGAATGCAATATTGTAGTTTCTTGAATGCAATATTGTAGTTTCTTGAATGTAATATTGTAGTTTCTTAAATGCAATATTGTAGTTTCTTAAATGCAATATTGTAGTTTCTTGAATGCAATATTGTAGTTTCTTGAATGCAATATTGTAGTTCATGGAATGCAAGTGTGTAGTTTATGAAACAAAATATTATAGTTTATGGAATGTAATATTGTAATGTTGTTGTCCATGAATGTAATATAGTGTAGTGTAACTAATACATAAAATGCAATATTGCAGTTTATGAATTGCAATTTTGAATTGCAAAATTGTCGTTTATGAAATGCAATATTGTAGTTCATGAAATGTTATATTGTAGTTCGTAAAATGCAATTAGTTGTACTTTATGAAATACAATATTGCAGTTTATGAAATGCAATATTACAGGAAATAAAATGCAATATTGTAGATCATGAAATGCTATATTATGTTTTACCTCAAGTGTTGGTTACAGCTTTAAATAATCTAATTCAAAGCAAGAATTTACTTCACCACAAATATTTCAACCTCCTTTTTATGATGTCAAGATATGTCAAAATGTGACCATAAAATTGAATGACAGAAGCTGGTCACAGACAGACAGAAGTTCTGTGACATTAATTAAAGAGAGTCATTAAAATCTCTTTATATTTTTATGAATCGCCATCTCGCTACATTCAATTATTTTTTAATGAAAAAATGTTAAAAAGTATTATGACCCTTACAGGTTCAAAGGCTAATAGGGAAACAATCCCAATGAGCCAACAATAAAATGAGGCACCCTATGGATTGTAATTTGTTTCTACAAGTTATTTTTTCTTTGATAATGATGAATATGATACTATATATTTCCTATCATGTAGAACAATTAGCAGCAAGTTGTTAATTAGTGATAATTAAGGCCAGCATGGAATGGAAGTTCTGTCTGCTGATCTACCAATTTTACCAATCTTATGCTATTTTTACTGTACTTTTTTTCTTAATTTGGCAGCTCCGCAAAATATTTAAAGTCTGCCAAATTAAGTTGCCGCCAAGTTCAATATTTCATATTTAAAATGTAAATGTGTATAGCATTTGCATTTCAATATTGCAGCTCCGCCAAATTAAGTAGTCGCCAAATGTTCAAAACAGCAAATCTGCCAAAATAAGTAGCGCCAAATTAAGTAGAAGTACAGTATGTGGGCAACGCATAAATCTTGAAATTTGCCATAGTGGTGCCAAAGTCTGATTAGGTTTAAGGCATGGTGGGTAAATTACCCGGTTGCCATTTTGCTCTTTATAGTGCGATATTTTATAGTGTTTTGTTCAATAAAAAATGTGTTCATTTCAAACATGCAATGTTTATACTAAGTATGCTTACAAGTGTTACCCTTTGCATTCGTTTGACTTCACTTCTTAAAGAGAGCTTCGTCTTCACTCTTTCAAACTAAAATAAAGCTGTGAACTCACCACGCCAATCAGTCTTCGTCGGCCAAATTTGACCGACGTTCTATATATGGTCATTGGTTCTGATATCATTGTTGAACCCGGAATTGACCAATGACATGAGCATATTTAATTAGAACGCATTTGGCGTATGTTTCTTCAAGCTGGCTGATTGGTGGAAGAAAGGTCAGCGCGTAGGTCAAAAGTGATTTACCCAAACTGTCACGGTACCCATCGTGGGGGCGGGGCTACTCAACTGTAATATGGTCTCTACTAGGCAGAGTGTAGTTTAACTAGACTCTGCACGCAGGGTATACAAGTGTATGTCTGACTCATGGAAAAGCTTGCAATGTAATGAGGAATTCATTCAATCGTGACAGTTTTGCACTTCATTTTCTTCAATTCGTAATAATTATAATACCTCAAAGAAGGCATATAACATTGTAAACATGTCTCGCGTTTTACCCCATTTGTAACATATGCTTGGATTATCTAGTCATTCCATATCATGGGTAACGCTAAAATCAGCTATACATCTGATTGGTTAATCTCTACACTGTCATACACCTATTGACAGCTGATATTCATATCATGTTTCAACTCCTACAAAATACCGTTTTTACCTCAACGGGTCAGAAAGATCATATCAACACCAAAACTGTAATTTTATTCAAGATCTTCAGAGGCTAGAATTTTTATGCTAATCTCTGTTTCTCAGGGTTGTCAATGTCAAGGGAGTTCTAAATGTGAAAATTGGTTTGTTTTTATATCACCACCAGTTGGCGATCGGCGGTTGGCGATTGGCATCTGTAACACAACTTCCAATAACTTAACAAATACTGTTTAGACTGACTTCAATTTTTTTTCAAAATCATCTACAAGTTTTCAGAAGTTCAAATTTGACTTTATATTTAAGATTTGACCATCAATGACCTTTTCAAGGTCAAAAAAGGTATTTTTTCAACTTGCTTCAAATTGACTAATTTTTTTTCAAAATCATCTACAAGTTCTCAAAAGTTCAAATCTGGCTATATATTTGACCTTTAATGACATTCTCAAGGTCAAAAAAGATTTGACCTTCAATGACCTTCTCAAGGTCAGCAAGGTCTTTTTTCATCTTGCTTCAAGTTCTCAGAAGTTCAAATCTGACTTTAGATTTGAGATTTCACCTTCAATGACCTTCTCGGGTCAAAAAAGGTCTTTTTTTTCAACTTGCTTCAAATTGACCAATATATTTTTTCAAAACCATATACAAGTTCTCAAAAATTCAAATCTGAACTCATAATATTGTGAGCAACTAGGTGTAAATTTGTATTTGTTTGAAATGCACTTTTCAAAGATCCATGTGAGATCCTCCCACATTGGAAGGGTCTTGAATTTGACACCCAGTATATTCCCAGGGGTTGCAATATTGACATGCTTCATTCTGAAAGTATGGAGCTTTGAAATTCATATTCCCAGTAACAGGAGTTTTGACTTATTCAACCCGTTATTATATTGCTCCCAGGGTTGGGAATTGGTTGACTCAGTAGGTTGCTCCTTGGGTGAGGAATTTGACAACCCAGTTTTTGTTTGTTAATCTATTTTGCCTGTTGTTACACCATTCTGTTTTTCTCATTTTTGGTTTTTATTGCTTTTCAAAGTTTTTATCTGGGTGCAAATGGCTTATGGTGCAAATGAACTCTCCTAAAGTGATTTAAACCTATTATCATATATGAGGGTTGATGATATTTTTTAAATGAAATGTTACATGCAGCAAACAATCACCATTTACTCCAGCAAAAACTTTTTGATCACCCCTCATATATGCATCAGACTGTGTCTATTATCACATACCTGTACCAGGACACCAAATTAGTATTTATGTCAAGTTAGTATATGCCGTCCAATATATGTACTGTTGTGTGCAACGAATAATGTTCAAGTAATATGCATGTACAATATATAAATAAATATTTAACATGTACATATATAAGGGTTATGTACTGGGAGGTTTTGGATATGGGGTTTATCCAGAGGGAGATATGCATATCTACCTGAGGGACCGTAGGGACCGAAGGTAGATGTGTATATCTCACGAGGGATGAACCCAATATCTAAACCGACCGTACATAACTGCTTTATCCTATACCAAGTAGAGCGGGAGATATGGCGGGAGATATGGAGGTCCAGGATATGGAAACCTCAGGATACGGGAAATCAGGATACGGGATATATCTTACCAACTTATCTCCCTAAAACTCTACCTGGCATAGGATAAATCATCTTATCCTATTGTTTAAAGGTTATCATTTTTAATCGCAAGTGGATATCAATATAAGCGAATGCAATATCAGAGTGAGTGGAGATATTGATAAATACAAATGGATAAAAAACATCCAAAGGATGAGTTTTTCTGCATAGTGAAAATTGGTGGCAGTAGAAATTTGTATTTATCAATATTTGGGATAAGAAGAAAAATGTTTTGGAAGGTATTCCCAGCTATTTCCATGATGAAACTTTGCACAGGGCCTTTAATAGAAAAGTAGATAATTTGGCTTGTGAACTGCAAAATGAAACTTAACATCATGTTGACTGTTGTAAAAAATGTTATTATTGTATTTTGTTTAATGTATGCATTTGAATGTTTGTAAAGTTTAAAATTATTTATGACTGTTTAGTGTTTGTACGAAATCATAGAGAACAAAATATATGTTTTAAATATATTATGACACTTCTTGATCTTTGTTTTTATGTATTTGACTTTTCGTAAAACTGTAGCAAAGTAAAGATGTGATTTGGGTGAAAGAATGGATCTGGTGATTTGGGTGAAATTATGGAAGTTGAAACAGTGATTTGGGTGAATGGATGGGGTGAAGTATTGATTCCAGTTAATGAACAAGTAAAAATAATGATTGGCTTTACAGTGAGAGTAGAGGTGAATGTGATAAAAATGATAATGGAATCACTGAATTTTCTTGTGAAATGATTGTGCTGAAATAGTGACAGAGATGAAGATGTGATTTGGGTGAAAGAATGAATTTGGTGATTTGGGTGAAATAATGGTTTGGGGTGAACTTATTATGCTGAGATAGTGTAGGTATGACTGTTTTGATATTGATAGGAAAAGGGGCCCCTGGAGTTTAATTTCTGAAGTGCATTGGACAAAAATTCCAAACTGAAAGACAGATTTTTGATTTGGCGGATTTTCTGAATCTGCCAATCCGTCAAATTAAAACGGGAGCCTTTAGTGTATCTACAGTTTTAATTACACATGACATGAAGGAAACATTGGAAATAAAGTTTTCAATAGTATCGAGACTATAGTGCCGGATATTTTTTACAACCTATTAGTTGTAAATGGTTATAATAATCCTTGTCTGATAATTTTTTTTAATATTATTCCTGTTTTGAATCACAACACATTTCACTGGCAAAAAGCTACATAAGCCTACAAGCAGGTGCTTATCTTATATCTTCTTGATATCTTTCTGGATGACATTTATCCCGCAGTTTATCACTTTCAAGGGTTTTGAAATATAGATGAAATGAGATTGTATGTTCCATTAGACTGATTGTGTTCATTCTGACAGTTGGTTGTTATTATAACATTTTAAAATTAAGATGGAATAGCATAGTCTTCTCTTGAAACTACATGAATATATCTGATATTACATGATGTTTTAAATACTAGTATTCAATAAGTTTCTATCTTATTATAAAAGTAGGCCTATTAGCAAAAGTTAAAATGTAAAATTAGTTTATACAATATTTCAAAGATGGCAGTTCAAACTATCCTTAAAATACTAATTATCGTCCTGACATCTATAAATAAAAATTGGAACAAAATTGGGATCTATATTGACCTAGAAAGTCAATTGAACCAATCAGAATCACCGTTACAAATACACCTTTGACCTAGAAAATGTAAACTTTGATAAACTTTGGGGGAGGAAGGAGAAAATAGAATAGACACTTTAACGTGTGGTCATTCGGAATAACCCACATGTACTTCAAATGCATATGAATGTAGTTCTAACTAGCAGAAAATATGCAGAATAAAAACGTTGGAAAATCATGGAAAATCAACACTGAAAACTGACCAAATGTTGGTCAAAATTTATTTCATGTTTTTCAGTTGTCAGCTTTATTGAATTGCAAATGTGTTACATTTCTTCAGGATGACAAGTTTTATCTGATCGTAATCTACACCTTAGGAATGCTCTAAAAGAATTTTACTTTCGTATATTGGACATATAGTGGCAGATCCATCGATCGCTGTATACAGTATTGACTGTGTTACAGTGTGTGTATTCAATTCAATAGACATTTTATTACAGTGAACTGCAGAAATAAAAGGACAAACAGATCGCTGTATACTCAGTCAAACTGGAGGCCTCTCGAGATACATCCACTTCCCTCAGGCGATCCCCACGACCCGGTGGACGAGGGAAGAGATCAAAAGGGAGGAAAATGTCAGGGGAAACTGTCGAGAGAATCCCTGAGACAGAATTGTCACCAAAGGAAGAAGCCGAAAGAAATGAAATGGAAAACTGGTTGGATAATCATCCAGAATTTGTTCACGATTATTTTGCAAGAAAGGCAACGAGAGGAATGATCGATGGATGGTTGATTAACCACGCGTTAAACCAAAATGCGATGCCTAGATGCATGACCCAGTCAGCATATGAAACGGGTTCAAATGGTTCAAACTCCCGATCAACTTCGGGGGCAAATACTCCAGTACGAAAAATATCTGCGCAAGAATTTGAACGAAGTGTCATGCCTTTGAAACCAATGATTTCAACAGTAGAGGGAATTCCAACATTTATTGGACCAATTCTATCAACAGAGGAGGCAGCGTCAAAAACTCTGCGTAAAACACGTAGTGAATTAAAAGCTTTGGATGAGCGGGAGCTAATTTTCGAGTTAGTGATTGATATTTGTAACGATCTAGAAGTCACGAGTCTATGTTACAAAATCTTACAAAATGTTGGATTCATTGTCAACGCTGATAGATGTTCGCTATTTTTGGTCCAAAAAGTGGGAGGAGAACGATTCTTGGTTAGTAAATTGTTTGACGTCAGTACAGAGTCTACGCTAGAAGGCTGCGTTGACAAAACAGAGGAAATACGCATACCTTGGGGAATGGGAATTGTCGGACATGTCGCAAAGACTGGCGAACGTGTCAACATCCCAGATGCATATCAGGTAAGAAATTTAGAATTCGAAGATACGCCCTGAATGTAAAACATATTCATTATTCTTTTTCTTTTTGTTTGTAATGAACCATTAAGGATATCCCTGTGGTATATACCCATTGGAAAGCTGTGAACCATGTGGTTCTAAATGTATTTTAGTTGTTTTATTATATGAACTTTATGTTACTTGAAACACATTTCAGGAAATTCTTAAATCATCATGAGGAAATACTTGATGGGTTAAACTTTTATTACAAAAGCGTGATATTGAAAACTTTAAAAGTAAATTTATTTTTAATGTGTACTATGTCAAAATAGGACGTATACATGACATGTACAAATTTGGATATTGCTACACTAAAGTTTTCATTCAACATCTGATAACACAAAGATTTTTATCAACATGGCCACAAAAGTTAAAATATGAGTTAATTTCAAGTGTTTTTAGTTTATAATTGGGTGCAGGACTCGCAGCCCTGTTTATCTTAGAATGTATGAGGTCCCCTTGAGTTGTTAAAACATATATCACGTTGAATGTGAAATGCGATTCAAGCATAGATGGTCAAATACTAAAGCAAAGCAAATTTATCGCAAACTGAGAAGTTTTTCACAATAATTCTTTCAATAAATTAGATTTATATCTCCAGTATATTTTCTTGTCCTCATTTGTATGAATTGCCATTGTTGATACGAAGCATTTGGTCTAGACCATGTATTAAAGACAGTTCAAGAATTGTTTTATATGTACAAAAAGGTATCACACTAACTGAAAGTGGTATTCACCCAACACTAAGCCTTTATGTCTATTATTCTATGAGTATAATATGAATTCTAAATCTGTAGTCTTATTATCAAAACAATTTATTTTTATTGGTGCGTTCTTTGAGCCCAAGCAAACATTTCAGTTTGAATGATCAGGTGCTTAGTTCTAAATATGTGACCGAAGTTTGAAAATATAGTTTAACCATATAAGCATAATCTATCATGATGAAAAAAGTTATATTGGGAATTCTTTGAAAAAATTAACTTAAAATATATTAGTATTTTGATTTGATTATATTTGAATTTCCCGCCATTTTAGCAGCAAAGGTTTATTGGTCATCAAATATACACTATGAAACACATTATTTTCTACATTCTATTAGATAAAGTAGATCAAGTAAAGTTACATAATTTGCATATTTTAAACTTTATTATATTATTTATTTATTATATTTTATTGCTATAATAGCATTTTTAAAATTTGTGATGTCATCAGATTACATCGTGGTGTCATTTAGGGTTAAATGTTAAAGCCAGGTTCAGAGACTCCTGAATAATAGAGCAATAGGTAGAAACTCTACGAAATAGCAAAAATGTGCAATATGCATTTTTGTTGACTATATAATAAAGATTTGTATGATGATTGCATCTGTAACATTTGTTACATATTTCCATTTGTAACATTTGTTATACATTTCTATCTGTAACATTTGTTACATATCTCCAGGTCTTGACATTTTTTAATTATTTATTAATTATAGGGGGCCCTTTTAAAATTCAGGCCTTCTTGTTGAAGATTTTGGCCTCAAATGAAGGTTGAAAGTTTTCTATATACACCAAAATGCATTATAACAGATAACATAAACCAGGGAGTGGTTGAAACAATTCTAAATTATTTAGGAGTAAAGAATGTTTAAACTATAATTTATAGGTTATGTTTTTCAAATGGAGTATTTTTAATATAAGGAAATATAATACGTTATAGATAAAGTTGAGATGGAGGCATGATAGCAATTTCTTTCATATTTTTCTATTTCATGATTGCAGCATATCTTTGTGAATAGGGTTCAGGAAACCTATCAACAGGTAGCTAATATAATATTGGAGATTGCTCTTAAAGATATAGATGTAAGGGAAAAAAATCAATTAGTGACAGGGATCACTTCTTAATATAGAGTACACTTTCTTCATATGTTTAAATGAACAATGTTCTTTTTAATTAAAAAGTTACTGTTTTCTTGTAAGCTACCGTTTGCATTCGTTCGACGTCACTTCTTAAAAGAGAGCTTCGTCTTCAATCAGATTTCGTTGTAGAAATATGGACGACGGACTGACATCACCGCATAGTTAATGCGCACATATTTAGCACGTGTTCCTTCCACTTTGCTGACTGGTTGAGAAAGGGTCAATGTGGTAGATTTGAAAGGATTTATTACCCAGGCTGTCACAGGCACCACTCTTTGGGGCAGGGCTGCTAAACTGTAATATAGTCTATACTAGGCAGAGGGTAGTTTGTAGACTCTACGTGCAGGGAATTTATAAGCAACTTATTGCGTAACTACAAAACATGCAAGCATCTAGTTTTTGAATGACTTTCTCTTATGGTTGATTGTTCTTAACTTTTCTTAAATGATGTTCAAGGGAGCAAATGGTATATAGTTAATTATCCTACACTTAGTGTACTAAATGTATAATAACATGAAAAAATAAATTTGATATTTATTGGCAAAATGAATATCCGGAGGATATCGTAACGATATACTCCGGGCGGAGGATATCATGACGATATACTCCGGAAAACCCAATATGCGGAGGATATTGTGACGATATACTCCGCTTGTTGATTTCCCGCCAAATTGACTCTATTTGGCATGAAATTCATTTTACAATAATGTTATACATTCAGTACACCCCTTGTAAGTGTAGGATAATAAGAACATCCTATGGTTTTTTCAGAATATCATTTTAATCTACTCGGTGATATTGATATATGCACTCGTTCGCTTCGCTCTCTTGTGCAGATATCAATATCACCTCGTAGATAAAAATGATATTCCTCAAAATCATAGGATATCCTATAATTATCCCATGGTTGCAAGGATATAGATCGAATATCACATGAAGATATTTTTGATATGTTGATCAAGATATCATATTTTAGCAAAACATTCACAAACCATCGAATATCACTTTTAAACTATCGAATATCACGTCTTAAAAAGTGATATTTGATGGTTTGAAAAGTGATATTCGATGGTTTCGAATTTTTTCAAAAAAAATTCTTTTTACATTTTTTAATTATTTTCAAAAATATTTAAAACAAATTTCAAAATTTCAAATTTTTTTTTCAACTTTTTTTCACAATTTTTTCAATTATTTTTTGACATTTTTTCTCAAATTTTATTTTTCAACTTTTTTCGCTGATAATGATTTCCCATGGGATAAACGGACAATCCTATGGTTTTTCAAATGACTGGCATTTAAAAATGCATGATAATATTAGTTATCCATCAAAAACCATTATATAAGTCATATCTAGATTGCTTTTCCATGATATATCAATGGTATAACATATTTCTTTACTTTAACTAGAAATTTCTATCAAAATTAGAAAGTTATTCCAATTTTAGAATTTAGAAGGTTGCATTTTTAGAGTCACCCTGTATATCTGTAAACCTTGTAAAAATTAAAAATTAAAATATATTCTGACAAATATGTGGTTCAAATTTCATCAACTTCAGAAAAGAAATATCTGTTTGATACTGCTACAATGCATGCTGTAAAAGAGATTGTCAAATGATAAGTGAAATCATCTTATTGGAGTAACACAATATGTACGTATGCTACAAAAAGCAAATGTTTTCATATTATTTAGGTCTGACCAAAAAGTTATACAAATGAAATCAAGGTTTAACACAACATTGCCTGTATTGTGGATTTTACTTGCTACTTTTTATTTCCGATAATATTAGCTTTCTTGATGAAATATTATATTTGTAGAAAGGCCAATCATATATTTTTAATTAATAAGCCCTTGATGGGTAGAAAGCATATGGATTATTTGAGCCAAACCCTTACAAAAAAAAACAAATGAACCCAATATTTCAATATTTTTGTCCGATATTAAACTCGACAATATTTTTTGGAATTCATATAGAATTTATCATATGATTTCTATCCTACTCCTAGAATTATATTTTTCAAAGTATTTTACAAATAAGGAAATTATTATTATTATTAAAGGGGCAGTGGGGAATGTTGTAATTTGTGTTTAGTTGCAATTGAAGTATTCTATAATCTGAATGTAGATGATGATGGTATATGATGATTGTAAATATCTAACATATTAACTTGCTATAGAAGTGGTATTTATTGCAAATATATTCAAATAATATGAGTTTTATGAATTATATCATCTATTTCCGACCAGCTGTCAAATGGCTTATACCCTGATCTTTTAAAAACTACTGTGTTTCACTCTTATTAAGAGCAGAGGTCAGATACAGTACTTAACCTGATGTAATGGAAAAGTTGTGAGAGCCCCTTGGTATTAGAGGTTTTGACAAAATAGAAATTGGGCTGTCCAATGTCTTACCCCTGGTGGCAACCTAGGGAGTTGATTTCCCCACCCTGAGAATACTATAGTAGCTGGTGAAATAAAGTCAAAATTCCTGTCACCTGGAATATGCAATCCTTAAATCCTTAAACTCCTGTGATGAAGTACAATGTGAAAATTCCAACCCCTGCCTATCCTCCTGTGTTGGGGTCTTAAATGGTACATATCGTACCGAATGCAAAAACATAAAAGAAACAAAAATATATTTAACTCAATCTGATATATAGGCTGTGAAACCAAAAATGTATATCACTCCTTTGGTAAATTAGATTCCGATCATGAAGAAAACATGATTTTATTGAGAAACTGAAAATTACATATTCTTTATTTATTTCTGCATTTGTAAATCTTAGCGCAGATTCCATGATTTCTAACGTAAATGTAACATAAAATGTTCATCTCTGAGACACTGTACAAAAAGTGTTACGCAAGAACTGGAATATTCAGGTCAAACCCTGGGCCATTAGGTAATAGTTTACCCTCTGAGTGTCTTTAAGAGTTTGCATTGTGCCAGAGCTCCATTAAACCATGCTAATATGTTTACATGTCCATGTAAAGATATCTGTCTTTGAGAGATGACAACTATTTTTTGCTTGAGAATATTCTGAAGTTTCAGCTAATTCCGTATCGTAG